ATTAAAAAAATAATATTCCCGCCCAGATTATCAGATACCGAGACGCCTATGTATAAATACCCAAACACGCCCAGATAATCGACAAGAAGAAGCTAAGAGCCGTTTCGGAATCAGGTGATTCCGGCGATGCCCAAAAATTCAAGTAAATTTCGACTTCGGTGATTCCCAAAAATTCCAAGCATATTCGGTAATTCCAAGTCAATTTCTCCAAATTTTCTAGAATCCCCTATCCAGACCTTGCGAAAGCTCAAAAGGCTCGGAAGAGAAAAGAGGCCAACCGAAGAGTTTGCCGCAAGGCCAAAACGCACCCTGATACGCACGCAATTATGAGATATCGAATTTCGTTTTGATAAGTAAATTGAAATTATAGTCCCCCTGAAAATGTCGAAATCATTCATAATTAAAAGATCTTTTTAATTATAACCAGTATAGGTTTCCCCCTCGCTGCCAGGCCTCCATCTGTCTGCCACCAAGCAGAAATCTTTATTTTCATTGTTTTCTTGCCCGCTCCATGTCACCAGGCCAGGAGCCGCAAGGGGTCAGAAAAGCTGATGGGCAGCGATAAGAGCGCTGGCGGCGGGAAAAAAAAAAAAAAAAACGGGTGGGCCCGGCCAGGAGCACCATTTCCCCCACCAAGTGGCAGCAGCTGCACAGATGCTGTTTCTGCCAGTCCTCCTGACATGAATCATGAGCCAAAGGAGGCGCAGCATCACCTGACCACTTCATCGCTGACGGCATCGATGCCAAAGAAAAGAAGTCTTCATGTTCGCCGTTCCAGTGCTGGCAAGAACACACAGCGCTTCGCTGTACGTTCGAGCTTTACATTTGGAGTGCCACTGTCCCCTATCTAAAGCACCAGAAAATTTTCAGTGTTCCACCTCAAAGCCGATCCCAGACTTGCAAATGGAAGGAGACAGGCGAAGGAATCTCACTTTTTTGCAGATCGACACACACGTGCTGCAGAGGACGGCATCCCCGGCGTCTCAACGAATACCACTGCATTCCTCGGTTCCCCACGATTTGCCGAGCTGTACAACGAGCATCAGTGGTGAAAACTTGCCCTTGCCATCATAGCCTCACGTCGGCTACTTGGCAGGACCTTAAGGATGCTGCCTTCGCGAAGCTTTTGCGCTACCAGAACCAACAAGTTGCCGTCTCGTGCCTCCTAGCCGCCATAGATACCCGCTACCCTGCAGCTACTATCAGCTACTACTGGTAATCCTCGTTCAAACATAAAGCTCGCAGCCGGCGGGGGCCCTATTTGCACGAACCGGCAATAAAGACCCGATGTCCGGCATGCGACTACCCTCTCAGAGGGACTCCACTCGATGACTCGGAACAACCTTGTCTGACTCCTGACAGGCGCGAACGAGACGATTTAGACACAGATTAGAGCAGATCAAAAGGATGCCAATGCAGCAAGACCAGCAAGAGATAGCAAGAGCCAAGAGCAGCCCGGCAGCGTCCTCTCCACCGAATGGTGCAGAGCATTCAGCATCCGTCTGCGCAGGACAGGGCAGCGCAGGGCTCAGAAGAAATCACTGAGTGCCATTTATGCATTGGTCGTGATGATCCTGGGCTGCATAGCATGCCAAAGCTGGCCCCTCACTTCATGCAAGCCTGTTGAAGATCGCTTCGAATATCTTCCCGGTACAAGTGCGTGCTGCAATGCTCCAAGAGCAAGACTGATAAGCTGCAGCTCTCAACAAATGAACATCTCTTCTGCTCCAGGCTCGGCCCTTGTGCTAAGGTCAGCCTGCCTCTTGAATCAGAGTGGCAGTGGACTCCACGCCGAAGCTTTTTGGAGGAACAAAATCCTGCACTTGAGGATTTGCATGGTCATCACAATGCCAGCTTTCACAGCTCCAAGTGTCAGCACTTTGTTACGTGCTTGGTAGCAAGTACTCTGCGCGACTGCGATCAGCATAATCTCGCTTGGCGTTTGACGAATATGTGACTATGCGTGCTCGGCGCACGAACGCGCAGTAGACTGCCACGACTTCATGCTGCTTAGCACTGGCACAGAGCGCCCTCTGCACAGGATCAATGTGAAGCTTGCCATGCACACTTGCAGAGTGGGCACGAGATGACACCTCCGAGTTTGTTCTAACAGGACTGCCACGACTTCATGCTGCTTAGCACTGGCACAGAGCGCCCTCTGCACACCATGCACACTTGCAGAGTGGGCACGAGATGACAACTCCGAGTTTGTTCTAACAGATAGCTGACAATACTTGAAGCTTCGATTGGGCTTCTGCGCCTGGCTTTCTGGCTTTTGCAGCTGGAACTTGCGAGGCTGCGGCTCGTACTTTCCAGTTCTGTAACAGTTCCGACAGCACCTCCCAACCGAGACACAATTCGGGCACAGCTTCGCCACTGCCAGAACCCGTTCCAAGGTGGTTTTCATTTCTGAATCACGTCAAAGCTTGGAACTGAAACTGAACTTCGAGGCCAGCAGGCTAGTGGACAATGACGCAGTTGCTCTGTCACTCGACGCTGCATTTTGCTTGCGTGGGTCCTGTGCAGATGGCATCACCGTCCATATCATGGAGAACTTCCTCCACAAACGCAACATGAAGAGCATCCATGGTGTATCTTGTTCATAAGGAACCTTACCAGGCCCTCCTTAGATGTGCTCAAGGCCCCTCCCCCTCAACCCCTCCAAGGGTCCTTATCGCAGGGGAAGCAAAAGTCGGCTTCAAGAATTGGTGTGCGTCGTGAAAGGGCTGAAAACGAAAAGCTTGGCAGTCACACGACAAGCCTGCGGTTCCAGCGCTCGTCACCGCCTGGATCCTGGCACTTCCGTCATATCTCACACAACTGCTGCCGGCCGTAAGCATCATCCGAGTGGGACCCTCAAAAAGCAATTGCACGAGTTGTGAAGACTGCTTGGGGGAGTAGCATTGACACACGGCAAGTGCCTTGGGACCCCTCGGCTGGATTTCCGGCAGCTCGGGTCCGCGTGGCCTCGGCTGCAGCAAACATACCACCCACGCAGCCCTTCACATTAATCGAAAGCAGATGTGTCGAGGCCATGCAGAGGTGCAGATGCTGATCAGTTCAATTCAATTTCAATTTATCCGGGTATCTTTGCTCCTGCGACAGTCCCGTCCGTATTTTCGGGCGCCACAGTTCCACGCGTGCCCTCCTCCTGAAATTGTGCTCCCGCTCCCGCCCCTGGGCCGTGCATAGTTTGTTTGCGAATATTTTGGGGTGCCTCAGTACGGTGGGCGTTGTGGATCACAACCTGGTGTGCATTTTGTACTCAAGGGCTGGTAGCAGGTGCTGGGTCAGAGCCGCAGGGCTCCCAAGTGCTCTTCACTGTTTGGGCTCTATTCTGCCACAACATGCAGAGAGGGTTCATGTTTCATCAAACTGGCTACTTCTTGGAAGCTGGCGGCTTCCTGTATCGAATCTCCCTTAAGATGCCTGCCTCCTGTACAAGGTGAAGACGTCCAGGCCCTGACAAGCCAGGCCGAGGGAGCTCAGATACGTCCCAGTACCTATAGACTCCATTGTAAGTCTCTTATTTCTGGTATACAAGTAGGATCCACAAATAGGTAACCCCAAAAAGGAACTAAGTTAACAATGGAGACTATAGTTTTCTTTGCATAAGAGATCACGGCTTTGAAGACTCCGGGATGCTGCAAACTCACCGGGTACTTTGGCTTCGCGAGGGATCCCTTGTCGGCCTCGAAGAACTCGTGCTTTGCCGTTCCCTGAACGGGAAGCCGCTTTGAAAGATCCGCCTCCCAATGGCAGAGTGTGTCTAGTCTGTGTCGATAAACTCGCAAGCAGCAGCTCAGCTTGCATGGACTGACCAAAAGCTAAGTATGACCTCCAGCAATGCTCGAGTCAGTGTTTGCGCTGACGGAGACAGTGTGTCTGTCAGCCCACCTGTCACTTGTCGCAAGACATGAATGAAGGGGAGAATGCAATGCATATGGCATGTAGCTCTAGCATGCAACATCCAGAGCGGTTGTTACTTGGCAATCAGATCTTCCCCTTGCACGGCGGTGGAAAGAAAGTCTTTTGCTGCGGAGACTGAGACAAGCAGCCGAGACACCTTGATCCTACTCGTACCACTGTGTTCTCTGTCGCTGTAGGGTGGTGCTACTGCCTCTGGCAGAGCACTCGAACACCCGGACTATCCATGTTGCATGGCGGTCATCTCGTCATGTTGACTCTGCTCTCTCACAATTATGTACGATGCGTGTATGTGTGTGTGCGTGCATACATACATGCTTACCTACAGACATACACATAAACATATGTTACATGATACACACGTGTGCGTACATCGTATGAAACAAACAAATAAACAAAACCAAGTAATTTCATTATATATGTATACATGTAGACGGAGAGAGGAAAACAGAGCGAGAGAGAGAGAGAGAGAGAGAATTTGTGTGTGTGCGTGTATGTGTGTATGTGTGTGTGTATGTGTAAAAGGAGTAATGGAAATATACGAGTCAGACAAGTGGACAACAATATTTTATGTTGTTGCTGATTACTAGCATGAGCCATGCCATGAGGACTGTTGCCACTGCCACGGATTCTCAAGGCTGGTTAGGGGCTCGACTTTCCGACATGTTACGATAAGGTGCTGGACTTCGTCTTCGGGGTTGGAATGGCCTTGCCTGCTCTCAGCCGTGAGGGAGATGCCTCCGAGGGTGGTCAGACGCTGCGAGCACCTGCGCCTTTGTGAAAGGCCGCTTGTCGCGGTACCGCTTCTCGCGTCCCGAGGTGACAGCGCAGCCACGATCTATGCGCCAGGGTTCTGAACCGTCGAAGCTCCGAGAATGACGTGCAAGCTATTGGTTAGGGCTCTACCAGAGGGGCGCCTCAAGGCAGGTTCAAGCCCTGTCAGCCTGTCAGCCATGCGCTTCTATCACCAACACACCGGAAAGCGGGATTATGAACAGGCCATTTCCTCTTTTCGAGGATGCCGGAGATTTTGGACGCTCAGTTGCGGAATCACGCACGGCTCGAACATCATCACTCTCACTGGTACGGGTGCACGCAATGCAGACCTGGTTCACAAGCGCACAGATATGCGGCCTGCACAACTTGGGCAAGTGATGTGCCGTTTGCCTGCAGCAAAGAAAATGTAAATTCTGAGCTGTGACTGGAAACAGTCCTGGAGTGAACACATGCAGAAATCAATCTCTTAACAATCGCCAAGGTCTACTGAGCAGCGTGCTGAGTTCTGTCAGAATGAGGTACAGCGACAGAAGCTGTATCCTACGTGAAAGTCTGTGAATGCACACCTTGCAGCGGAAACCAGCATGCCGAGCATTGATCGTCACCGCCCACTGCTGTGCCTTCGCTCCCAGCAGAAGTACACACCAAGCGATAGTGCAGTACACAGACATCCGAATGCATGCACACATGCACCGCGATTATCCGAAATTTACCAAAAACTTGCACTGTGCGGGCAGAACATGTATGACTGTCTCCTGCAGTGGACCCTTTGATGCGCTCCAAAACTTCGCCAGATTCCCTTCGTTTTTCAGACGATGTACAAGTTGGCGCCCGATTTTCTAGCGGTATGTGTTGGGCTGAGATGACATGGTCAGAAACTCCTCTCCAAAAGTCTCAAGCAGAAAGCACCAAGATGCACCGAGGACCAGTGACTCAAGTTGACCAAACCCTGGGGCCTTCTTCAGTCTGCGGCTCCCTTTTTGAGCGTTTTGCTTTCGACTCCTGCACCAAAGCTTCAGTGCTTTCTAATTGCTGGGTCTGCGGCCGTTTTATTGGCAGCCACTGGCACTGATCTTCGGGCAGGTTAGCACTCTCTTTCACCAGTGGAAGCAAAAAGCCACATTCTCGGCTGGTCCCCTTCGCAGCACAGGTAGCAGGGTAGGGCTCATCCTACTGAAAGACTGAAAGTAGATTAACAGCAAAGGTGCCGATGCGTCCCACCGGCGCGCTTCGCCTGCCAGCTGCAAGATATACTAAAGCTCTAGTGACGAAGGCACCGTTGGTGCTATATCGGGTTGTCGATTATGCCGACTGCAAGTCAATCAATGCATGAAGGGCTGGCAGGAGGCCGCCGCAGAAAATCAGGGGTAGCAGATGAAGAGGCGCGTTTCCGCAGAGGATCTCTCGGTAGTTTGCAGCGTTCCAACTGCCGCCTGTGCAACGACATTCGTCTCGACGTCAATCTTGACATCTTGCCGAAAGCCTCGGAGCGCTAGAAGAAGGCAAGGATACGACTGTAAAGATTGAATTCAATGGTTTCGCGGCTCCGACATTCAACGTGTCTGTCTGGTCTAAATGGGCTTGCCAGGGCAAGCCAACAGCGACTTGCAGCCAGAAGCTCAAGACAGTACGAACATCTGGAGGTGGGGCCAAGATTGCAGTGTATCCGAGCACGATGGCAGATGCATGGCAAGGTCCCGCTCTATCCGGGTGCTTTCATGACCAGGTGCCGTCTTCTTCAAACTTTCCACATCGTTCTCGCCCGACAACTTTTGGATGGCCATGAGGCACGCCTTGGGTCTCGGATTCCACACGCTACCACAGAGAAGACTGTGGGGTGGGAAGAAGGAAACAGACTCATCTCCCGCTGACACCTCGAGTTTGGCGTCCACTCTTCGGGTGGTGCTGAGTACCTGGCCAAGCTCATGCAAACAAAAAACAGAACTAAGGCAAAAACGATGATCGCGCAGAACCAGTAGAAAGCACTTACCAGCATGTCGCCTACAGAAGCAAGCAGCTGTGATGGCATGACTGACCATCGCACATCGTCATATGCTACGCTTAGTTAAGCCTGCGCAGCTACGCTTAGTTAAGCCTGCGCAGAGATCATCTTTTATACTCTCTGTCCCTATATATATATGCAATCTGCCCCACTCTTCCCCTTCATGATGTCACACTGAACGAGGTCCGGACCGGCCTGTGCCAGGTCCAGGCTCTTCGCCACACCTCGCAGGCGAATGGCTCCATCGAGGAACTCTGCCACGGTGATGGCGCCGTCACCTGATTGCACTCGAAACTGCAGTGCCATGTCGATCTCTTGGCTTGCCCAAGGCAAGCAGCCGTCATCGATCATGTGAAAGAGGTTCACCAGGTCGTAGGTCTCAAGCTCCAAGGTTGCCATCCAGGATCGCAGCTCAGGCTTTCGGAGGACCTCACTGAACTCCTGCAACGAAAGCACAGTAACACAGTGGTTTCGACGACTCTGCCGAACGAACGCACCCCTTGCTTCGGGGTTGCGTGCTGGCGGATGGCACGAAGTATCTACACGACCTGACGAGTGAAAAGCAGATGCAGAGTGCTAACCTGCCGTCCTGCCATGTCAAGAAGCCCGTGCTGTCGGTGTCCAACTTGTCGAAGAACTCTCCTCAGACGCTTACTGTACATCTTCCTCCTGCCTTTGTTCCCAGGGTTCCTGCTGAAATATGCGAATGGGAACTTCCCCCACCACTAAACGTATCTTGGCATATTTTCGGGAGATCCTGGCCCTGGCAGTAGCGCTTCCTGCATGAAGCTCCGACTTAGCTGAAAGAGGTCATGACTGCTGTGGGTTCAGGTTTGAGGTTGAAGGTTGGAACATGTGTTGGACAACAATATTCCATATTCGCCTGAGTGCATCTTCATTGATTTGACGGGTCTCTTCGCGCATCTTTCTCCAGGCTCCACAGTAGGGCTCTGCGGCTCAGCCGCTTCGCCCTCTAAACCAACTCTTGTCATAGGAGCCTGAGCCAGCGCCGTCATGGATTTTCCACGCAGGCGGGCATCGGTCTTCCGAGATTGGCCAGGAAAATACCTTGCCAAGCGCAGCTATTTGCTGAGGCTGCGGGTGAGCGACTTAGATTTGAGTTCCCGAAGCCCTTGGAATTTTTGGTCTTTGGCTGTTTGTTCCAGCAATTGCTTGGCAATCCTTAGGAACTGCGGGAAGTTAATCACCGCGTTCTTATCCTCCAGCTTTGCTTTGGGCATGCCGTTCAAGAGCTGCAGAGATTCACCTTTCACCTGGTGCACAGCGCCAAGGGCGGAGCCTGTGTCAGAGGCCAGTGGCAGCGCTCGACGCAATTCTGGCAGAGACATGAGCTGTCCGACGGATACGAGGCCTTCCCGATGCTCCAGATTCGAAAGGAAGAGTTGGCGGAAGTCCTCCACTTCCTTAGCAGAGAAGCCGGTGTCTCGGATTGCCCATTGCTCCCGGAAGTTGTAATCCTTTGCAAACAGGTCGACAAAGAAGCGCATGTGGCGCAGAAAAGCATTGAAGTTGATGGGCGGTCTACGCTCGACATCCCGAAGGAGCTCACTCAAGGTTGCCTTTAGAGGTTCCACCACCCCAAACGAAAAGAGGATCCGGGCAACATGTGCAACCTCTTCGGCAGAGAGTGCTAAGTCAGGATCCCTTCGGCGCTGGGCCGATTGGGGGCCCTTGGCAAGGCTTACGAAAAGCTCCTTCAACTGCCCAATCTCCTTGTCAAAACCAGCCGTTTCCCTCCGGTCTTGAGCCTTGCCCTTGCGCCGCTTCAGGCAGGTTCGAACGAAGCTTTCCGGAGAGAACCCCGCGCCACCTTTGCGGAAAGCGGAGGCAAGGCCTAACTCAAAGTTGGAGTTCGCACTTCGTGCTTCTAAGTTCAGCTCTGCGAAAAGCAAGGCAGCCTGCTGACTGCCGATCTCCATCGCGCCGTGGTCTCGACGGTAAACCCTCTCGTACTGCTGCATAGCCTCCTCCCGCTCCATGCGCAGGAGCTTTTTGACTTCCTGGAAGCTCAGGTGTCCGTCGATGCACTGCGCTTTGCGCACGAAGCGATCCACTTCCTGCGGGGAAAGGTCATAGCCAAACCAGCTAAGAACCTTGTGGACGTCACGGGAACGGACGGAACCAGCATCGCTCTCGTATCTTTGGAACGCCAGCTCGAGGTCCTGGAGCTCGGCCTGATTCAGGCCCTCGCAGTTTCGGTATCTCTGCAGGAAGTCCAGCGCATCCTCGTAGTTCAGCTCCAGGCGTTTGGGCCCCCCTTTGGCATCCTGCACCTGCGCCGCAACCTCCAGCACCACCTGCAAGTCGCAATCATAGTTTAGGACTTTCAGGGCACCTTCCAGCTCCGTGGGTGACAGTAAGCCATTACGATCCTGATCCTGCTCCTCGAAAACCTTCTGGATCTCCTTCATCTCGACTTCGCGAACTGCCTTCATGGCTTCCACGAACTCCGGGTACTCGAGGGTGCCCCGGTCGTCGAAATCCGCATCTCGAAAGATCTGTTCCAGGACCCTCTCCTTGAGCTGGTAGCCGAGCCAGCCCTGCGTGCTCTTGAACTCCTGCGAGGCAGGAGCACAAGACGACAGGGCACAAGACAGATGTGACTGACACAAGGCCCCTCGCCCCCATGGCTGGAGCTCTCCTGTAAGTCGAGAAGACCATCCCCGGTGCTGTCAAATCGCTCGAAGGCCTTCTTGAGCTCCTGGTGCTCAGTCTCCGGGAAGCCATCAGAATCGCTGAGCAACTTCATCAGCTGTTCGAACTCGTCGAAGGACAACTCCCCAGAGTCATCGTAATCCACCTTCCTCATGATCTCCAGCAACAAGCTGGGCTGCACCACCAGCTGCATGGACCGAAAGACCTGCAGCGTGACAGGAGAGCTGACCCAGTGAGCCGAAGCTTTCTACAATGCCAGCTGTTTTCAGCCACTCAGTTCTTTGTCAAGTGCTGTACTCAGTGTGCACTCCAGCATGGCGATGCGCCTATGCAACTTACTCGTTCAAACATGAATGACCCCACGCAAGAGGCACTCGTGCGCGGACACGCACAAAGACACATCGCCCGGTATGAGGGCTGATTCGGCGAATTCCGAAGCAAAGGAGAACAAATCGAACAATCCTCGACCCGAGTGCAGACACCACCTTTGATGAGCAGTGAACAGCATGGATGGGGACTGAGAGGTAGGGCACGTTGTACATCTTTCTTGAATACCTGCTGGTAGTGTCCTCAGGAAGATTCTTGTTTTCTGTCACTCGACAACCTTCCAAGAAGTCGCTGGCGCAAGAAACTTGGGAGCCTTTTGCCGAGTGCTACATTCCGGAAGGGTTCGACTTACCTGACTTTGCCGATGCTTCGATCAATACGGATTTTAGCGTCTTGGACACGAACTAGAGTCGGGGGCCCGAGTGACCATGCGCGAAGCCAGCGCTGCACCAATGCGTGGTAAATGCCTTACACGTGTGAGGCAACATACATACGTACAATTCACTCATCACAGCGCTTGATGTGTCAAGGCTGCTAAATGCACAAATACACACTCGAAACCCTCATCCACTCTCCCCGCCATCATTCAGCTGACATATCCTGCATTCTACGTGTGGTCTGTCTTGATTTGCATTCAGACTCTGGTGGTAAAAGGTCCAGAAGCACAAAGCGGAAATCATCGATAGCGAGTGACCAGTCTTCACTTCCAGCCGCTACTGGTAGCCTCACGGGAGCGACTCCTGACTCCGCCGAAGGAGGCGACTTGTAGCGGGACAGAAAGGGCGAAGGGCTCTGTGATCTCTTCCGCTCTTGGGCGTAGACTCGGAAGCTGAGCGGCACCATGTTGCGAACCGAGACGAGACTCAACACTTCCATCCGAATTCAGGCGACGCTGCGCTTGTCTTTGCAGATGTTTGAAACACAACCCTCTATCTGCTTCCAATCCTCTCGCTCTTCCCCAGCTTCTGTGTCGCATTTTGCCTTTCTTTCCCTGGCCTCAGGCTTCAAGTGGCTCGCCGCTTTCGGCACAAGGGATCCCACGGAATATGAATCTACCGGTGGGACATCTCGAAAAAGTATAACTGGTTGTCTGACCTCGTGACCTCTGCATCATACTGGAAGTCTAGCATGCCACATACAATTTCGACCACCAGCTCGTGCGACTTAAGAGAGCAGTTCACACAATACAGACGATCGAACTCGATGGTGAGCCGGCTTCAACACCACTTCACATACTGTCTCTCTCGCCCTCTGCCCCCAGATTCGCAGACTGCAACTCCGCCCAGTCTGACTTACTTCGCATGTGAACAGATCTGGGGAAGCCTGGTGGCGTGCTCCGAATGAAAACGCACGAGAGACTGTCAGAACTGTATCTAAGCCAACCGACACCTGTCAAGCACAATTTCGACGCGCCTCTTGGAGTTCTTCCGTCGAAATCTGGTCACTCTGGTCGACATCGAACTTTCTGAAGGCTTGGAGATATCCCTGCCGCTGCCTTTCATCATATTCGTTCACAAGCTTCTCGAAATCCTCACTGCCAATGAAGTTCACCATCGTCAAACCCTCATAGATCTCTTCTAGCCAATCGCTCTTGACATCTTTGAAGCCACAATGTCGCAAAGCTCTGCGAAGGTCTTTCTTATTGAGTCGTCCACCACGGCCAAGGTGGCGAAAGGCTGCCTGAATCAGTTGGCTAAGGTCCGCAACCTCCGGCTCAAAGGACTGCAGCATCGATGCCAGCTCATTGTCTCCCCGGAAGATCGCCTTTCGCGGGCTTCGACGGTCCTTCTTCCGGTCCCCATGGCCACTTTGGCGCACGAGTGAAAAGCGCCGGTGGCTCTCCTCCTAAGGGAAGAAACGAATAGACTTGGACTGTTGGAACATCTAAATACGAAACAGGCGCATCACTGCATGCAGCGCAGCAGGAGCAATTCCCTCTCGTTGACACCTTCTTAAACCCGAAAATCTCCTGGCGCAGCGCCTGCGAGATTAGCTTGCCAACTCTACGGGCACCTCGTGCCGCCTTGGCATGCTTTACAGGTCGCAGCACAGCCAGCAGCTTCTTCAAGGGCTCACGGCCTTCGGGTGGAGGCTTCGACTTGCCTCTGGCCGCTGCAAGTGTGGCGTCAAGCACTTGAATGCTGGAGCACTGACGCAGAGCTGCACGAATCTCCTGCTTTAAGCAGAGCCTTGCAGCGGACAAATCCTCCTGATCCTCCTTCTGCGCGCCAGGCCTGTTAGGCTCAAGGTGACGCTCCAAGGGCTCCAGGGGCTCCAAACCTCGAGGAGCTGGTGGAATCTCGGGCCGATTCCCGATCTGCTCGCGACAGTGCTCCGTGAAGTTTCTCCAGGGTCGCTGGCCCGCAGGGACTGGTGGACGAAAGTGCCAACGAGGGGTCTCGGGAACCAACGGCTGAGAGGGAGCCTTTGCTACCATTCAGGCACATGGCGGGAAGTCAAAGCTACAGGACCCTGCAAAGCTACCAAAGCGTCTGATCCGCGCAGCGATTGCATACCTGCGTGGCCCCTGCGTGGCAGCACCTGTCTCCGACATTGAGCGACTGCTGTCTCCAGAACATGCCCGAGCATCTCATCTTCGCTGCATACGCTTGCTCTGATCCTTGGTCAGGCTGAGGCTCACCGAGTTCTTCGGCGCAGTCTTCGGCTCGTGGTGCAAGCAAGCAGCTGAGCCGCTGCTTCAAGATGAGCTCCTGATCTGCCTTTGTAGCACAGATTCGCATCTGGGCAGAGCCTGTCTGCGATAGTGCTGCCGACTGCCTGTGCCACCTTCATCGTCTGCTGAATGAAGACAGCCGATACCTTCATAGTCAGTGACATGATAGGAACACTTCATGCGCAGCAAGACTTGTAGAGGTTGACCCATCAGCTCGTGGTGAACTTTCCTGCAAGATGCTGGCAAGCAGCTACATTGAGGACCGCGAAGCCTACCACACAGCGGTACACGACAAAAACATAGACGAACCATTCACTGACGTAGTCCACCTCGGAATGCCAAGCATGAATTCGTGGTGAGGGGAGGGGCCGATGTACCCTCTTGGCCTAGGGGAGGACAGCATTCTGGTTTAGAACTTATTGTGCAAGTTGGGGACACAGCAAACCTGAAAGCAACTGAGCGGCAAGGATTCGAGCCGGAGGAGCCCAGTTTGCCAGCAACACCTGACAACGAAGTAGTAGTCAACGGCTTGCACCCTACCACGTGGCGAAGCCAAAGAGGAGACCCTACCACGTGGCGAAACAACGAAGAAGCTAGAAGGATGATACACCGGACAAAGGACACCAAGCCAGACCACTTGAACCAGCCCTTTTCCTTATACAACATTCGAACGACACGAGGTGGCCCAACGCCTGCAGAGCTACGAGGTGGCACGACGACTGCAGTGCTGCACTTACAATATCCTGTTCTCAGGTACCCTAAATGTGAAGCGCAGGATAACCCATCGCCACTGGACGAAATGGTCATCGAGAACGACATTTGGCTTCGGTTTTCGAATTCAGATAAAATGGGTCAAGAGCGATTAGTGACTACGAATGCGCGGCGAACACTTGTCTGAGCCTACGTGCGAAAGAGCTTGTGGCATTGATTCGAGCCTGACCCACACACAGCTCAGAGATATATGAGGCGATGTGTTTGAGAGCAGTTCACAACGGCTAGTTGACTACGCATTGTCAGGGAAAGGGGTGGGGCCGCGCAAAGGGGTCAAGACGCCAGTGTTCCACACAGAGCCTCCCTGCTAAGGATCTCAGGCCAAATCTTAAATCACATCTTCTAGGAGCTCGGTATGATTTAGGAGGGTGAGGGCGTTGTCACGACATTGCCGCTGGAAGCAGTTGAAGATCTTGCAAGCGATTTCAATCCACCCTAGAAGGAAAAGATCGCTGTCTGCGCCCGGCGGTTCGGCATGCGAGGGGTGGTGCACATGCTCGACTGCAACCCAGACTGCAAGAAAGCTCCTCCACGAGAGTCGTCGTATGATGCGTTAATTTCCATATGTTTCATATACACGTCAGTTCAAGGAGTCGGTCTGTTGCAGAAGGGAATCACCTGACATTTCATTCGTGGGCCATGGTCTTGAGCAGGCAACCGGTAACCTCATGACACGACACCGTCTAGGTCTTTGTTACATGGTACCGCCGCGAAGCTTGAATGGGCTTCTAATACGTGCAGGTCTGGCATCATTTTCTTCGCATAACGACACATCCCCTTACACCGTGCCAAGTACCCGGCCTCGAACATGGTGAGGAACGTTCCAGTGAACGTGCCATAGTATCTCAAGATAGGGAGCGGAGAGGCACAAGGTTAGGAAAAGTGGTGCAGGAATACTGCTTCGCAGCTCTGGGATGGTTACTGCAGGGTGAACATGCAAATGCTGAGCTCCGCAAATGTGCGGACGGGCGGCCTGAAGACTTCCCTCCTCTCATCCAGGTCCGCAGACTCATCTTTCATGTACGGCCAAAGAACTTGGCTCATGACCTTGCACGAAAGGTATTGAACAAGAAGCCTGTCCTTGCCATTACAGTGGCCAAAACTTCAGAAGACTGGGGACACCACCATACCTGCCATGCACTGAAGCACGACGATGAAGCTCAAAGACCAGCAGAGTGTGTTGAAGCTGGCTCTCACGCACTTGAGCAGCATGATGAGCGACGACATCCCCTGGCAATCCATTCATACGAACACGTGCTGCTGGCACTACTACCAATACTACTTACTGCGACTGCTGCTGCTACTACTGCTACTGCTACTACTACTACCACGAAAACTACCACTGCCACTTCCACTACCACTACCTCTGCCACTGCCACAACCACTACCACCACCACTACTACTTCTTCTTCTACTACTCCTTCCTACTTCCTACTTCCTACTTCCTACTACTACTACTAATAATAATAATAATTACTACTACCACTACTACTGCTACTACTACTGCTGCTGCTACTACTACGACGACGACTACTACAATTACTACGCAACTAGACCTGCACGACACTGACAACCTTGGCTGCAATGGGCGTCCAAGACTCAAGGCTATCTCGAACAGTGCAAGTCCAATCCAGGCTCATACTTAGGGAAGGCGACATTGATGCAGGTCCGCCCGGCACGACAACATCCCTTCAGGACGATTGGGCATGAATCGGAAAGAGAGCCCGATCATCAACACCATCACCAGCGGAATCATCAGCGCAACCACGTAATCATCAATGCCACTATCAGCAGCATCATCGTCATCATCATCGTCGTCATTTCTATTAGCATCATAATCGTGGTCGTCGTCACTGTCGGCCCTCCCGTTGCCATTGTCGCTTCCGTATAACTCGGTTCCGTGTGCATGGCTTCGAGACTTGTGATAGCACCATCATGAACTATGTCGCAGTTGTCTTTCACTGAACACCTCACTCCCAACTCTCTCCGAACACGAGATCTCACGCCGCAGCACCGAAACCAGCGTCCTCTGTATGTCGAACAACTCGCATCGCTCGCGCCACCTTTCCCAGCCGCAACAGGCGCATGAAGACCGTGTCCTGGGCACTCATATTGAATTTCTTAAGCGGGGTCATCCTGGCACGGAGGGCTTTGTTTAGGCGTAGCCAGCCCAAAGGCCACAGGTCTTCAGTTGAAGGAACCAGTGCCAAATTCCTTAGCCTTATTTCAACAGAACGACCCGGCTCATCCTCATCCAAACGGACTTTATGTCACATGCAACTGCTCTGTGACGTTCTGGCCACGCTTTGGTGCAAACACTTGCGCATGAACGCGCTTGCAGTCGAAGCACCACCGGTATTAGGTCTTGAAACAGGATCTCAGTGACGCTGCAGAGAACGACCAGAAGGTCCAGCCAGTTGAATGTCAACTTGAAGAATCGCAGTCGGAGGAAGCTGAGGCGGAGCACGATGTCAACCTGGGGATCAGCAGCATCGTGCCTGCTAAAGCTTCTATGCTGCAAACACCGTTGCTAGTGTTAGCCCGTTACCTTGCGTCGGACTTCAACGTCCCCAGCAACAGGCTCCACGTCTCGCAGGCTGCTTCTGAGCAGCAACAAAAGCAATCGTGAAGCCCAAATTGATGGCATAGAAAGCACCTTCCGCATGAGGCCAGGCCTGAACGAAGTTGAAGCAACTGCACTCACAAACTTGGAGGTGTCTTGCGAGTGCCCCCGGGAAGTCTTCGATGCTTTAGAACACTTGCCAAAGAAATCGCTGCCTCATCAGGGCTCCCCTCCATTCTCCGGTAGTCTAGGTCGTGGCCAACCACGTAGCCTGGCACTCGGCAAAGCACGTTAACGTTCTCGCTGCAAGGCATATGTCTAGGACATGGGGAGTGTCGCAGCAGACGACTCTTTCAACCAGTCCTTGATACTCGAACTCGATGGCCATGATCACAGAATTCACGATGATGAGCATGCCTATCGTGATTTCCTCAGAGGAGTCTGTGCCGTCGGGCCCCTGGGGCATTGCTTGCGTTCAAGATGGGCCAAGGAACGTAGAAATCGCTCTCAAGGCGGCTCGCGCAGTCGTGCTTCTGTACGGCGGCGGCCTCTGCGCTAAATGGGCCAAACTCTCTGAATCCCCCTGTGCCTCTTTGTCGCCTCGACCTCTGCATCGATCTTCGCAATCATCTGCGTGGTGGCGGCACTGCCCATGACAACCTGCTCCTCAGCTCCGCTCTTCCCCGGCCCCTGACCGGCCCTGGTCATGCCCGTCCTCTGCATGTGCTGGCAGACCCGAGGAAGGTGGATTTCGTGATCCTTCGGAAACCAACAAGGGTGCATGGCACTGAACAAACGGAAACTCTGCAAGAAGTCTGCATGCTGAAACACAAACCCCGACAATTCAGCTTGAGAGTTTTGGTGGAACACGCGACATGCTCAACTTCGCTTCCTGGTTCCCTCAGTCTCAACCTTTTTGACTTGCAGTCCCTGAATGCACAGAAGGACCCTTCCCTGGCCTTCCGCAGGGCGAGTTTCTGGAACCTTTGGAGCGTGGTCAAGTTAAAGTTCCGGGTCACAGGTCGTGGGCATCACGCAGCCCGGACTAGATCCGGCACATCTTCAAGACTCGTTATTGTGGCAAGCATGCATCATCTTGCATCTTAACCGCAGAACGACGGTGGAACAAGACCTGTATCAACTTGAATTTCCTCGAGCCTCCTGTCCAGCACGAAATCTGGGGTCGGCGACGGCTGACATATCCTCAGTACAGGCATTCATGAATTCGAACTACCTCTGAAACTGCAAGATAAACACAAACTGTCTTGACACGTGAGCCGTGTTCAACTGCAGCATCTATTCAAACCGCAGAGCCCGAGAAGCAAAGGTTTGGTTGATGCTCCCGTCCTTGCCATGACAGGTCGTCGTGCCTGCTTCCATCCCACGAAGGCCGCCGATTTTCTTGGTGTCGGTGCTGCCAGCGCCAAGTACTTTGGCCATCTCAGATCTTAACAGCTTGTTCTCGTCACTCAGGAGGACCATTTCGTGTATGTACCTCTGCTCAAAAGGCACGATACACGAAAGTAGCAAAGGCTGGGACCTTGGCGCAACTGCTCACAGTCTGCGTGAATTCTGGGCCCAGATCAGCCAATCAACCCTAAACCTAAAACCGGAAAACCCCTAAACCCTATAACGGCATCTGGAGTACGTGCTGTCTCTGGTGTTTCCGCCCAGGAACTGATCCTCCAGTTGCCCTATCAGAGCTCGAAAATCAGCGAAGTCTTCTTCACTGGTGAAGGTCTGCTGAAGGCTGTGGCCTGACTCGGCACAGTTCCGTGATCTTTCGGGGTCTCTTCCCGGGGTCAGCAATGGTGCGCGCATACTGCCACACCGAAACGGACAAGTGCAAACAAGGGCGAGGGATAGGTGAATCCCGGTCACAACCAGCCAATCGGAGGTCGGGGAAGCACATGTCCGGGATCTTTGAAACCGAAGTGTCAACACTCTGAAGCAAGCGAGTTGCCGATTTCCGCACTGCTGAGCTCCGTCAAGGGCACAGCGAGGCCTGCAGAAGCGCAGGGCACTTTTGATGTGGGTAGGCAGGGTTGCAGATGTACGAACAAGGCTGCACGAGCGAGGAACTTGCTTCAAACCAGAAGGTTGCAGGAAGAACGTCATGAGCCCTTCTAACCCAACCGAAAAACCAAGACATTCATCTGTACTTCAAGGCCGAACACACGGAGCCTTGGCACTTTGCCGCATCGGCGCTTTCTTCCCCTTAGGGCTTGAACATGTTGCTGCAATTTCATGAGGTGTGTTCAGGTCTCAGACTTCGGCGGTCGGACATGTTCGAACTCTCGGAGGTGGGCGGATCAACTTGTCTTCTGAAACGTGACGCCGTTTTACCTTCTGGTCTTTCGGTAGTATGACCGACAGAATGCTGGCTCCAGAACGAAAAGCTTGGATGCACGATACAAAGCACAAATCGAAGACACCTAAGAAACCCAAGCCCAAGCCTGTTGGGGCGCCCAGAAGTTGAGAAAAGAAGAAATCCCAGAGTAGACTTGTCCCAGAGTTCTCAAGATGAACTGCGCTCAGCCCGGCGGCCCAGTTTGAGGATCGTTGGGCTAGTGGTCGGGCTTCCGATGGAGCTTCGGACGCCAATGGATGGAGCCATGTTCCCACAGGCACGAGGTTTGGGAAAGAGCCACTGCTGCAGAAACCCAAGACTCAGATGACCAACCAAAAGTCCTGAGGCCCCCAAGCAGGATTTAGCATTTACGGAGTTTGCGGAGTTTATGGCTTTAGGGTCCCAACCTATTGATGCAGGACAGACAAGCATTGTAACCGGACCGGCTCATGTTCAGGACCGGTCATGCAGTGTTGTAGCATCCCGTAACTGCGAAGCCACTAAAAGAAGCTGCACATCACAATCAGTCGGCAGTTTCAAGATAGATTCGCGCCTGGCCATTGCGAAACCTTGCTTGCGATACTCCCTGGTGCCATGCATCCGTTTCGCAACATCCCCCCAGGCCATCGTCCAGCTTGAAGCTAATGATGCATCGCCGTATGTCCTCTGGCGAGACACTGCGCGAGCCCTGAGTCTCATACGAATGCACCGGGCAACTACACCAAAGTTTTGAGGTTCTGCTAATTCCAGCTGTCTAGCCACTATTTTGCAAACCAGCGACTTCTGCGTCCCGCAATCCGATCGTTCAGCAGATTGCCAAACTCGTACGGACGGCTGGTAAGCTGATCTAGCAAATTCCTGCAATGGAACTCGAAGCCCGAGTGAAATAGTTCCCTGCCAACAGAGATGCTCACGTCCCTGCTCCCGGATGCCGGAGCTGCCCTCCCGTAACCCGCAGAATCCTCCTCCATCTCACTGTCCGCCTTGCAAAGGGCTCGCCAGCTCTCTTTTTTCTTTTTGCGGACCCCCACTCCCTTTCGGCGCAGCACATGAGTTGTGAATGCATTAACCCCTCAGACCATCTCAGACCTGAAAGCCTGCTTGTCTTGGCTCGGGTCTGATCTTTGCTCGAGCCTGGGTTACCTGCGACCAATATGGGCCAGTGGTGCACAGCTGCTTTGGCCAATGGGCCCGGGTGTTGTCTTCCCTTGTTTGGTCCTTTATGGTTGCTGACTCTCTGCCGGCTGGTCTGTTTTCCTGTTTGTCTGCCTGTCTCCAGCCCAGTTGGTGTTGTGGGTCTGATGTTGAATTGATTTCCTGCGGACCGGACTCCTCCTTCTCGCTACTTCCCTGCCCAGGTTCACTTGCGCCGAACAGGGCGGCCAGCCAGCAAGTATGTTTAAGAGTGTCCACCCTAACAGAAACACGGTGTCCTCTCGAAGCTGTGAGAGAGCCGCATAGACTCTAAACAACCCCAAACCCTTGCCCACTGAGGCTTGCACCCAAATGGGTGGTCGCCCGGTCAGAAGCTGGTACACCAGGCACCTTCGTCGGTCAGAAAAAACTATCGTGCGCAGCATCACGGTTGCTCCGATAGATTGATACATGAGCTATGCATAGGGACGAGACCTGCAATAACATATGCGAAACGACGATGCCCAAGTTTTTGACCTGATAAGTAGAGGGAATTCACCTCGTGATGGGCTGGGCGCGCCATGATCCAGAATGCTCGTCACATGCCGATACGTTCCCCGGACATTCCGTCATGGCTTACCACAGTATAGTCAGACGGCTTCCAAGCAATTCTGCGCTGCGACGTGCATGCTGCATAGTGACTCACTTGTTGTGCTCCACGGGACTGGACAGTGAACCAGGTCTCCTCCAAAAACACGCGCCGTTGAACTTTGGCTGTGGGGGCAGGCTTTCGGGGGGCGTGAAGGGGCCAGAGTTCAACGGCGCGTCGTTTTGGCCCCAAACGCGCCGTTCTCCCGGGAGCCATTTAGGCTTTGGGGGGTGTGCGCGGGCCAGAGTTCAACGGCGCGTCGTTTTGGCCCCAAACGCGCCGTTCTCCTGCAACAACACGCGCCGTTGAACTTTGGCTGTGGGGGCAGGCTTTGGGGGGCGTGCGGGAACCAGAGTTCAACGGCGCGTCGTTTTGGCCCAAACTATGGCTCAAACCACAGGCTTTGGGGGGCACCCGGCAGGGCTGCATGGGAGGGCGAGGGTTTTGTTAAGGGGGAGGTGGAAGGGTGAAACACCAGATGTTACACTCCTGGATGACTGTCTGTTTCACGTATCACTTGCATGTATCCATGCCTGTTGCGCAAGGTTTTAGGACCCTGGATAAGAAATCACAAAAAATTCAGGGTCTCATTTCTTGCTCCCAACGATTTCTTAATGAATGCGCTTTCTGTAGGCACATACACGCGCACACACATACACACACTCACGTCCAGAACAGCCGATCTTAGCACGTGACGAATGGAGACTCACGTGAGCACTCGTACATGGAGCTATCAGTGTTGCACTTGATTCTGTATTTAAAGGCTCAGCTCTGCTCGCCCCAGCAGAACTCCAAAGCCCGTGAGGCCTCCTTGCAACCTCACAAGGACCACATGTTGAAGTTCTGCTTAAGTTTGGAGTTCCGAAACCCATCTTCCCAGGAGCACCCAAGCGCCCAAGCGTCCGAGGCGAGGGAAGGCCTGGCTCCACGAACCACCTGGTGGGCCACTGGCGGGCCTTGAGGGTCTAGGACCTTCTAGGACTCTAGGATTTTGCTTTCTCTGTCGCTACGTCTTTTTGTTGTTCGTATTTTTGTGGTTCATTGTTTTCTCTGTGGTTGTATCTCCTGTGTGTCGTTCTGTTTTGTTCTTGGTGTTTATTCTTTGCTTGGCTGTTCTACATTTATTCACTGCGTGTTCGTCCATCTTTTTTGTTGTTGTTAATTGTGTCTTGCTCGTGTCTCCTGTGGTCGCTTAGTCGCTTGCCCTTTGTTGTGGTAATGTGTGTGCTCCATTGGTGTCATTGTCTTTGTTTTTATCTATGCATGTAGTCATTTCCCTTTTCGTGATCTATCATGCATTTAGCCACTTCAGTTGTGTATTCATGCTGTTCTTCGTGAGTCGTTATTCTGTTTGTTTTCGATTTGTCCGTTGTGCTCTTCTCTATGTGTGTCTGTCCTGTTCGTTACTATAATCGTGTTATTGTAATTGTTCTTGTTGTTAACACGTTTGTTGCTATTGTTGAAATTGCTGTTGATGTGCAGTTGCTGCTGCTGTTGTTGTTGGTGGTGCTGTTATTGGTGCTGCTGCTGTTGCTGCTGTCGTTGTGGTTGTGGTGATGGTTGTTGTTGCCGTCATTGTTGTGTTTCTCGTTTGTCGTCCGCAGTGGTTTTCTGTTGTTCATTACCTCGCTTTTTCTGCTTTGTTTTGACATTTTATGTTGGTTCGATTTCTTTGAGTTGTGTATTCTATGTTCTTAGTCGTTGTCTTGTGGTTCTTGTCTTGTTCTTCTCTTTTTGTTCACCCCGCACACATACATACATACGTACATACATGCATACATATACATATACATATACATATACATATACATATACATATACATATACACATACATATACATATACACATACACATACATATACATATACATATACATATACATATACATATGTATATATACATATACATATACATATACATATGCATAAACACACACGCACATACATATACATATACATATACATATACATATACATCGACATCGACATCTACATATACATCTACATATACATATACATATACAGTACATATGCATATACATATACATACACATATACATACACATATACATACACATATACATATACATATACATATACATTTACATATACATATCCACATGCAAAGCATATACATATACATATACATATACATACACATATACATACACATATACATATACATATACATATACATATACATTTACATATCCACATGCATATGCATATACATATACATATACATATACATATGTGTATATATATATATATATACATACGAGGTGCTTATGTTGTTAAGTGTGTCGTTTGTTTCTTGTGCTTCGTCTTGGTGTTCCGTTTGCTTCTTTGGTGTTTATGGTCTTTGTGATTCTTCTCTTGCATGTATTATAGCGTTTCTTCTGTCCTATCTTGATGTTTTGTCGTTCTTGGCTTCTCTTGTGTATTCGGAGTATTTGACTTTTGTCATTGATATGCTCTATCTGTGATTATGCTGGCTTGTTTGTTGTTTCCTGGTCTTCCTTGTTATTATTGTTGCTATCATAGCAACATTACTATTATTACTATTACTGCTTTTCTTCTCCTGTGCTGGTCGCAGGTTCGGCTGTTTTTGTTCATGTCTTGCTCTTTAGTGAACGAACTTCCTTTTGTAGCTGTTTGTTGCCATTGGTTTTCTCACGTAGCTCGTGTGCTCTCTTCTGTTGTTGTGTTTCCTTGATGTGGGGGGTTTGTGGTTGTTTCCCTCTTGCATGGCTAGGACTAGGACTAGGACCACGGTTCTGGGTTTGGGGTATATAGATATAGGTTTGGGATTTAGAGTTTCAGCACCCTTCACTCTCCAAGACATGGCACCATGGTCTTTTCTTGGGAAGAAACATGAAGAAACACAATCTACACAGAAGCTGTGCTTCACGAGTGCTCTGAGCGCCAAGTTCCACAACCGTTCAAGAGACAACTCAGCCGCAGAGTTACGTCCTGAATCGACGGGCAGGTTCCTCCTCCCCCAAGTCTTCAAACTCCATCTGCTCCTCCTCCTCCTCCTCCTCCTCTTCCTCCTCCTCTTCCTCTTCCTCATCTCCTTCTCCGTCTGAGTCTGATGCGGGGCCTCCGAGTGCATTGCCAAGACCGCTGAGGCCAAAGCCACCCGTGACCGAAGCGAAAAAAATTTGCTGCATCTCGTAGAGCTCGTTCTCCACATCCGGCATGGCGAAGGCACCCGCACCCGCGAAGCCACCGTAGCTGCTGGGGCCTCTGCCTCTCTGTGCCTCCCGGGCCTTCTCCTTCAAGGACGTCCGAAAGCGAACCGTCACACCCTGGGCTCTCCCCACGAAGGTCTCCAGGTTGCAGCTGAATGGATCATCCTCTGCACAGAGTCTGGGCATCTTGTCTTGATGCCTTTGCAGCTGGTCTTGGATGTCTTGGAAAGAGCCTGGGAGGCTGAAGCCTAGGTCAGAGTAGAAGCGCGCCTCCACCCAGGTCTCAGTCTCGAAGGCAGCAGCGAAATCCTTCCCGTACAAGCTTTGCAGCTCTTTCCACACTGGGGTCGTATCCTTCAACAGGCGCTCCAGACGCTTCTCCCGGATTCGGTGGAACTCCTCCTTGCGCTCGAGCTGCAAAGGCTTCAGCTCTGCCCATGCACGGAGGAACAGGGCGCTCTCCCAGTTCCTGTCCCGAAAGCTTCTGGGCACCAGATCGAAGTAAGACTCGATGGCGGACCCACAGCTACGCCAGTCTCCCCGCCCACATTCACAGACAGCAAGAAGATGAAGCAACTCGGCCAGGTACCACTTGGGGAAGGGAACGATGTCCAGCTCCTGGGTGCCCACATATGGGTTCTTAAAGTCCGTCCTCATGGGGCTCTTCGAGCGGTTGATGTGATCCGGGAAATACTTGGCCGCCTTGGGGTGCACGGTGACGTGGAAGATCAGCCGGTGCAAGGACTCGCGAGCTGCATCGAACTGAAAGTCATCCAGCTCCAAATACGCAAGGACCCACCGCATCAGCAAAATGAGCTGCTGATGGACCTCCTCCTGGTCTGGATGCTCCTCCAAGTCAACGCCCAGCTCTTCAGCAATCTGCTCGGCTGAGAAGGGTTTCGTGGTGGAATTTGCTAGCTCCAGCAGCGACTGCCGTCGCTTCCGCTCGTTCTCAGTTTGGAGGTAAGCACCTTCGATCATAGAGCGGAGCTTCTCCACGTTGAACTCTGTCATCTTCCCTCCAGTATATGGGTTCAAAGGGTCTTGGCTGCGCTGGATCATGGCCATGAGGTTCAGCATCTTTCCTGGAAGCTTGCGGCATCGCTGGCGCAGCTCCGGCATATCCAACAGGAAGAGAAGGGGGAAGCGTGAAGTGTTCGCGGATGACGAACCATGCTTCTTCGACGTCGGAAGCGTCCAGAGCCTCCGAGAGGCCAACGCGCCGCTCCTTCAGGTGGTCCAGCAAGATTTTGTGGCCGGAGCAAGCGACTGAACAGTTTTCTCTCAAACTCCGCAGCAGCTGCCTGAGTTCTGCTGTCGCGGCCCGGCTTCGTGTAGCTTTCTCGATGGTGTCCAGGCGTGCGCTGGCCTCCTTGAAGAGCCCGGCTCTGGCGCAGGCACTTGCGAGCCGATGCATGGCCTTGCTCCAAGCCGCGAGGTTCTTGCTGTGACCTCCCAGCATCTCCAGCGCCTTCTCTGCATCTTTCATAGCAGGAAGCGTGCGGCCCAGTTTCAGGAAACACAGGCTGCGATTGTTGCACAGAGAAACTGACAGATCTAAACTTGCTGAGGCTTCTGTCGCACCATCGGCAATCATCTTTCCCGATAACAGGCCAAGTAGTGCCATGGCCCTGGAATACGAGGCAAGAGCTTTTTCATAGCTGCAGGCTTTGAAGAAGCTGTTCCCGCGGTCTTTCTCTGCTACGGCAGCCATCTGGAAAACTAGCTCTCGCGGTTCCTTCCCTGACACGGAAGCTATTTTGATGAGGCTTGCGACGGAGTGTGTCCCTGGGATCGGCAGCCCGACCGAATAAGAATTCAAAACTGCTTGCAGCTCCTGCCAGCATCCACTGTGGCCTGCTTCCACGAGCGTCACGTCTTCAAGAGACAGAGCGTTTGGTGGAATTGAGGCCTGCATGGAGAAAAAGCCATGCTCGTGGAGGAGCAGGTGCCGCGCACACTCGAAATCCAGACGCATAACTGACGCACGAGTATTGGAGCAGAGGAAACTCAACAGCCCATGGGACAGAAACTGCTGAAAGTCTGATGCCATGCCGGTGAACTGAAGGATTACACGCTGCCGTCTGCCAAGAGACGGCCCATCACCAACCGAACCATACACTTCTACGCTTGCGCAAGCAATCAACACCGTCGCTGGCTTTACAGGATGGAAGCAGCTCTTTGGAACATCCCGCATGCAAACCCCAGCCAGTAGCTCCAAAGCACCCACAAAGCTCTGATGCCTGAGCCCAGATTGCACCCCGGAACAGGCACAAAGTCGCGAACTTATTGGTTTCCAGTTTCAGCAAGCTACACTTCTCTGAAGGATGGCTGGTCATGTGAGGATCGGTGGCTCATGCATGGTCATGGTATGCCTAGACTTGGTGGGAACCGGGAATCCGGCGGATCTTTCGGTGTCATCAAAATATAATGTATCAGAACTCAGGAAGCCTCAATCCTTTCTTGCTGACAGTTCTTCAGACATGTTGCGGAGCCCAGAAGCTGAATGTGAAACACTCGTTTGAGCCCATCTTTACTTGGAAGGGAGCTTTGGCTGAGACAGCCAATTCCACAACACGCACACGGAATCAGCAGCAGACAGCACCACCAGTCCTAGTGACTAGTGGACTAAGACTAGAGTCCTGCCTCAGGGGGCAGGTAGAGCATCGTGCCCTCAACACGGTCGTCTTCTGCAACGAGCTCCTCCTCATCACACCTGTGCAAAGAAACAAACAATCAACGAGCCGACGGGTTCGTGGAAGATCCATATAACATTTTATCTGGTGTTCTGATATCAAGCTGTAGGCATCGCTAAGGCATGTGCTCTGCTGGCGTCGCTTCTGGGACATCCTGCCACAGTGTCTAGCGGAGCGGGCTGGCAAGCTGCAGAATGTTGACCAGGGTCAACTCCTTTGATTTGAGGCGCCACCGAGCCCTCGCAGGACACGTAAGCGCTGTTATGTGGCCTGTGCTTGCCAGTCGCCATCGCGAAGCCGCTTCAACAGAGCCTGTCGGCAGCGCACCGCCGCCTGGCACGCACACACCCTCGCATTGCTGTCCGAAACAGCCCCGAAATCCATGTAGCGTTCAAACCTTTTCCTTGGGCGAGGCGTTCCGGCCCTCCGGCGCTCCGGTAAGTCAAGCTTCTGGCGCCAAGGACAAGGCCCCGATAAAAGGAGCCCAGGCGAGTCGTGGAGGGCGCGCGCGTCTTTGCTGAGTTGCCACAACTCCACGGCTCACTTGGTTCATATTGACGGCGTTTGCCGTCAAACAAAACTCCTAGACTCTGCATACTAAAAGTTAAAGAGGACCAACTCGAACAGAGCTCCGTTCGAGTCTGCTCGCAGATGCGCTTGACCACCACCAGTGCTCGGGTGGCTCTGGCTCAGCCGATCACTCTGCAAGCAGAAAATTAGAACTCAAAACGCTAGTAGAACTGTACAGATATGTCAGGCCATGTTCAAGCCCCCAGGACTAAGAGCACTGTCCCGATGGTGCCCATGCTCATCGCACCGATGGAAGCCTTGGTTAAGGCACCGTCGGTCGATTCCTCTGCTCGAGATGTCGAGATAGTGACAACTGCTGGAGTCTCTATGCGAACCAAACAACTCCGACAGCATGCGAGGAGAGCTCATCCATCGCCTCCGTCTCTGTCATGCGGTAGCGACAGCTGCCTCAGCTAGCCTATCATCCTCTACACGGCCTGTGAAGCTACTGATACTCCATGCCAAAAAGGGCACCTGCCACATGATGGCAGCAGCACTTGCACCAGCAGGCCGTGCCATCATCGGGCCCGCAACCTGCTGCGTCAGGGCCTTAGTTCGTTGACGGTGCCCGGCAATGTGAGGCTTCCGAAGAACTAGACTTGTTGGGGCCCAGGTGCCAACAAAGCCGCAGTAGCACTGAGATACGAAGGACGGCAGCCCGAATCCTTGCAACAGTTCATAATCATAATCACGAGTTCCAACATCTCGAAACATTCCCGCTCCTTCCAAAGGGCAGCTGTCAGCCCCAGAGCTGTCGGCTCCAGGCACAATGCCTGAATTGCTGCAAAGCTGGACGGCTGTTGAATCCAAAGCTCTCGCTTCGCTGCAGAATGCCCAACCCCAATAACCCATAATAACCCTCCAGTGACGAGACACCTGCTGACTCTGCAGGGCTGGTGGTCGTTCCTGTTCAGATGCACTCGGAAGATGCACTAAGAACTGAGAACCCGAAGCGGTGAGTTTCGGACTGTCAGTCTTTGCACCCGTCCGGCAGCAATAACGGCACCCATGTCACAGACTGAGAAGTCTGATCGGGACGAACCGATAGTGATAGTCACACAGCCTGGTAATTAGCCTCCATAAATTTTACTTAGTCCTAATTACTCTGAACTAAGGACTTCTAGATGTGACACAGATAAGCAAGCCATTTCCATCTGGGGGGGTGGGGTTCAGCGGGGAGGGGTTGGACCGTCTATGAGTATTGGCCCAAAAATAATATTCAAAACTGCGGTAGTAAGACTATTGCTGATAGTACTGATAACACTAGAGACAACGAAAATCAAATCAATAATAAGGTCTAAAATTAAAACAAAGACGTTCCGAGAATGTAAGCCCGGACCCTGGGTCCGCCTGCAGCCACTTCTGCTTCATTCCCCGAGGTGCCTGCGAGCCCGGCATTTGGATCTAGCAACAATGACACGTGCACCGTGGTTTATCTATCAAGTTTTACATATACATATATATATATATAAATATGCACTAATACACACACATACATACATATGTACATACATACATACATACACACACACCTACACCCACACCTACAGCGGCACCTTCCCACATGCCCACATGCCCACATACCCACATACCTACATATCTACATACCCACACACACATACACACACATACACACACATACACACACATACATTGACACACACTTACACACATACACACATACACACATACACACATACACACATACACACACACACATACACACATACACACATACACATACACACATACACTTGCAAAGCACTCCTTTCTTAGAGCCCAAGCGCGCTCACGTGTCGGAAGGTCTGCAGTGCACATGTACATGACTGAGGCATATGTATGCATGAGCAAAGGGAGTTCTCGAAAGTTCACTCCGCTCACGCTCTTGGGTTGGCTAGCCCCTGGCACATTCATTGCAAGCATGAAGGACTTTGATCTTCGAGGATCTGCAATGGTAGCAGTCACGACTATTGTGCCAGGACTTGCCAGAAGAAGTCACGTAGAGATCTCGTCCAAAAGGGGACAGTCTCTCCTGAGTTTGGAGTCTTTCCTCCAGCCGCCTAATCGTCAGGTAGGCGTTCTCGCGGAGGTCCGTGAGGTGTGCAACCTCGCGTTTGAGACGTCGCACTTCCAGCTTGAGCGCCTCGATCTCGCTGTCATTCGCATCGAGGCATGCGGTATCCACATCCATCGCATCACATGCTTCCGCCTGGTCTTCGTAGGTGGTCTCCGTCGTACTCGTAGAGGTTGGCGTAATCGAAGAAGTCGTAGGCGTTGTAGTCCAGAATCGTGGCATTCGGCTCCACCAGTATTGTAGCGAACCCCACAGCATCCATTCCACGCCGATGATGACGCAGGCTGTCATCGCAATCCAATACCAACCACCATCGTCGCCGCTGGTAGAGGAGGAAGTCGAGGTAGAAGAGGTCGGTCTTGTCGAAGAAGCCGCCGCAGTAGTCATCATAGAAGCCAAAATGCATGCCATAGGTCTCGTTGACGTCGTAGAACACGCGAAGGCCGTGCTCAAAGTAGTCACCTGCTGTATGAGCTCCTTGTCGGTGAGGTCCAAGTGGCCTTCCTTGACGTGTTGAAGTTGAGGAAGACGCCGCAGCTGCATTTTATGGTCGCCTTGGTTGTAGAAGTTGACAGTGCCTGTCGAGAGCAGCTCCATCAGAGGCGGCGCGACCATACTCTTTGTGAGTCCATCCGCCGTCATGCTTTCTGTAGGCGTCAACACAAGCCAGCGTACGCGACCATGAAGACGGGCCTCGCGAAATGCGAGGATGTACAAGCGCTGACCTTTGTCCTGACTGACGCTCTTGTCGCCACTCGCCAGCTCGTAAAAGTCCTTGCAGTCCGTGAAGTCATCCACGGGAATCTGGCGAAGTCCCAGTTCTTGAGCAGTCAGCAGCGAGGTCACCGTAGGGCGCTTGCTCATATGCAGAAGTTCTGCCAGCCTCACAGTGATGAGACTGCTGGCTTCCAGCCCGCTGATGGCCGCCAACGTTTCGGCGTGGCTGGTGCTGTAGCTGGTCCTTTTCGCCTTTGCACCGTGGCCCCATAGAAGATGAGCCTTGCCCGAGAGGAGCTGTGTCTCGTGGTCCATGAGCGTTTTCTCATACTCGTCCTCGCGAGCCTTCAGTCGGTCCTCCATCAAAAGCACCAACACACCCTCTTGTGCGTAGTGTCGCACATTTCCGGCAGCACTGGAGTCATGTATGCATGCCAGCTTGAACGGTGGCTTCAGCTTACGGTAGTGGAGGCCCAGACCATGACCAATCTCGTCCTGAGCTCGCTTGATCACCGCATTCGCCTGTTTCAAATGCATCACCTTGGCTTGCGTGACCTTGGACTGGAGAAGGCACACATCGGCGATGAGGTCGATGCGCGTCGCCGTAAGCCAGAGTAGTCCGCCGAGGACGCTGCGTCGTCCTTCTTGTTCGGAATCGTTGCCGGCTTGAGCTTCTTGCAGAAGTCATCTTGAGTCATGGAAAACCCATCTGCGGTCTTGCTGTAAAGAACACCGCAGTGATGAAAGGGAAGCTCCTGCCGCGTGACACGTCCGAACTTGGCACACAGCAGGTTGTACTGCTCCGTGAGCCAGGACTTTTTGCTTCCAGCACCGACATCATCAACATGGGTCGTAGCCAGTGCTGTAATGCCTTGCTCGCCCTTGCCTCGCATCCAGAAAAACATGTTCTCATCCTGAAGACTCGGGATGCCTCCAGTCGATTCAAAATGTTGATGGAGGCAGAGTTGCCAGGCAAGGGGCGCGTCATTCAGACCGTAGACTGGCTTGAGGCACACGAGCACATAGTCGTCGATGCGATCCTCAGGGAGCTTGAAGGAAGGGTCGCAGGCAGCTAAGTGTCTCCACACGTTTCTGGGTACCACCAGGGCCACCTTCCTCATTGGAGCTGAGATGCCCCGGGCGCGAAGAAGCTCGCGAATTTGTTCGAAGGTGAGGCCCTTGAGGAAGGCTCCGGAGATGTCCCAAGACTCCACATCGAAGTCTTGCGTAGCTGACACGGACATCAGGAGCCGCTGACTAAGCCTGGTGGCCGTAGTCGAACGAGTGCTCAATGAGTCCTTCTGAGAGTCGAAACATCCCCTGGCACACAGCCTGGATTTCACCTTCCGTATGCAAGTCGGTCTAGGCGGGGGTCCCCCCAAACCCCTAATGCAAAACGGGCAAGGGTTGGTCGAGGGTTCGGTTCTGGAAGCTATTTCGGAATACAGCTTACACTGTCGCATCCAACACCGGGTTTGACCCTGTGTTTTGCGGTTCAAAGATAACTTAATTTTTGTTTTGGCCTAAAATGTCTGGTGTCCTGTCGTTGGCAGATCTTGTCTTAGTGGGCACTTGACAAAAACCATGATTTTGAAGCTGATGGGGTTGATCTGTCCAGAGACTTGAATATGGCTGAAATCACAGCTGGAGCACGCACTCTGACCCAACTTCTAAAATTGGACTCCTGGTTTGGGCCTAATCTAGTAGACGTCTCTTCGAGCGCCCTTGTTCTGAAAGACTCTGCTTCTTTTTCGCATCCCGCTGTGGTTAATCTCGCTGTTCGCAGAATACAGAAGTGCTAGATCTACACACTCAGCAAAAGATAAAGATTTCCGAGGTCTGCACCTGGAACCTTCAGCAAGACATCAAAATTTCCGAGGTCTGCAACTGGAACCTGCTGAGGAGAGTTGCCGCAGATGAATGCAGCATTTGCTCCCCAGAGGTCTTCCCTGTGCACCTGCGGAAACATGAGAGTTTGATCATTTGCCGTGGTGTTGGATCCTGAGAAGCCTTTTTCGCTGAAAAGCAAAAGTCACTTTCCAGACTCGCTAAGCTCTGTGGCCCTGTTTGTGTCTAATGCTCGCAAAACTGCCCCGAAGTCTTCAAGCTCCCAAGATCGGAACTCGACTCTGGAGGTGAAGCAGTTGAAGATCAAAACTTCTTGCCAGAAGTCTTCAATCTTCCAATCCATGAGAATCAAACAGACATCGACAAGGGGATCCACAGCAACCCCTCCGCTGACTGTTGGAGGGCCAATCCCGAAATGAGCCTCCAAGACATTTTGTGTCACACAGTCCACATTGTTAGTGAAGTCGTTCTGCTCATACTGGCAGTGCAGCGGGCACGTTGTGATTCCATCGAGGGATGGTGTGTCATTCGGCAGCACGAACTTGATATACATGTTCTACAGCTGAAACTACACAAAAAACCCTACCTTGAGAAGGAAACAGCTCACCAAAGCAGCAACTGGTTTAAGGTTTGGGGTAATGCTGGGACTTTGAAGTTTAGATAAGAATAGCAAGCAACAACTTCGAAACAAGAATTTTTAGCTAACTATGATATTTGGGATCTGGGCATGACCGTGGCGAGTATCATTTTTTTCACAGCTTCACAAAGCTCCAAGGTTGAGGTTGTGAGAAGTAAAAGAACTCGCAACGCTGTGTAGCCTCCCAAGGGCTGCTGCACAAGATTTCACCTTGGTGATGCTCTTGGCTGGCAGGCACCCTCCCGCAAACGGCAGCACAACCGTTTCAAACTCTCTTCACTTGCTCGGGGTGTTTTTGAAAGAAGAACAAAGCCGCAGCACTGACATTGCTATCAGACGGCAAATCGGCAAGGAAAAGATCGCGAGGAATCCTCGCAAAGAAGATCATCTACGCTGCCCCCACAACATCCTTTGTTGCGGAAGGGGCAGCTGCAGCTGCAGCATCCTGGCTGCCGGAAATCCAGTTCAGGAGCCTGCCAGTGCGCAAACCAATCAGCTCTGGATAATCCGCAATTCGTGCGGTCAGCAGGCTAACGGATGACTTGTCATCGCTGGCCCTCAGCTTCAGGACCCGGCAGCCATGGGTGACGTCCTGGGCCATCTGACAGTAACAGTGGCCGGCTGGGATGCCCAGGGCTTTGCCCGGGGACAGATGAACAATCCAGCCTTTTTTCTGGCAGATTTTCAGGAAGTCGTTTGGGTCCGTGGCCAGGGTCGTATCACAGAAAGCCTTGAAGCCGTCTTTCATCATCGTGGTATTGATCTGGAATCCGCAGCACACAGATGTGCCCTCCAAGCACATCTTGAACTCAGTCAAGGCATAGTCTGTTGTGAAGTAGATCTTGCTGGTGTTTTTCCCCATGCTCCAAAACATTGGCGAAAACACCTCTTTCAAATCACCGTCTGTGGTGACATCCTTGATGTGCTTGGATGCATTGCCAAGGCAGCTCATCCAATCCTTGTTGAGCTTCGCGCAAAGCTGCGGTTTGGCGACCACGTTGGTTGACAGCTCGGGGCCGCTGCCTTTCTTCCAGCTTTCGGCCAGCCAGGTCTTCTGCTGCTCGTAGTACGGCAACTCCAGCCACTCCTGCAACAGCTGCTGGTTCTGGGCTGCAGCCAGAACCAGGGCAAAGGCCTGGTTCTCCTTCTCAACCCAGTCGGCAGCGGCAAACACCACGCCCTGATCCTCGTCGATGTTCTCCACTGCTTGGGTCCAGAAGAGGTTCGACAGGGCCTCGCCAAGTGGGGAGTTGCTGCCGGGAGGCAGGCTACCTGTCTTCTGGCTCTTGGCTGCCTTGTTTGCCGAGGAAACTGACAGTCGCTTCTTCTTGTTGCAGCCCTTCTTGTACTCGGCACACCAGGCCCTGATCTCCGCCAGGTTGTCCTTCACCTTTTTCACCGCATCTTTTGATGCGAACGTCTTCACAAAGGCCGAAACATCCATGAAGTACTGGTGCCACTTCTCGGCGGCCTCGTCGGAGGTGTCCGAAGGGTTGCTTTCCAAAGCAGTTGTCCATTTCCTGGGCTCGGCAAACTACAAGAATGATAGACTAGGTATTTCCCAAACTATCAAACCTTGATAAGGACTCTAATCTGCTGTTTCCCAAACTATCAAAAGGTCTGAGAAGGACTCTATTCTGCTGTTTCCCAAACTATCAAAAGCTCTGAGAAGGACTCTATTCTGCTGTTTCCCAAACCATCAAAAGGTCTGAGCAGGACTCTATTCTGTTGTTTCCCAAACTATCAAAAGCTCTGGGAAGGACTCTATTCTGCTGTTTCCCAAACTATCAAAAGCTCTGAGAAGGACTCTATTCTGCTGTTTCCCAAACTATCAAAAGCTCTGGGAAGGACTCTATTCTGCTGTTTCCCAAATTATCAAAAGCTCTGAGAAGGACTCTATTCTGCTGTTTCCCAAGCTATCAAAAGCTCTGGGAAGGACTCTATTCTGCTGTTTCCCAAACTATCAAAAGCTCTGCGAAGGACTCTATTCTGCTGTGGCCCAAATTATCAAAAGCTCTGGGAAGGACTCTATTAGTCTGAGAAGGACCCTATTCTGCTGTTTCCCAAACACTCAAAAGCTCTGAGAAGGACTCTATTCTGCTGTTTCCCAAACTATCAAAAGCTCTGGGAAGGACTCTATTCTGCTGTTTCCCAAACTATCAAAAGCTCTGGGAAGGACTCTATTCTGCTGTTTCCCAAACTATCAAAAGCTCTGGGAAGGACTCTATTCTGCTGTTTCCCAAACTATCAAAAGCTCTGAGAAAGAGTCTGTTCTAGAATGCACGGCCAAGATGCTCGATCGTCTCCTCCAAGTACTGCTCGGCACCCTTGTAGAGCTCCTCGAACTTGTCCGTCCTTGTCTTCATCTCGGCCATGGTGGTGGGGTCGTTCTCGGACATCTGCTCGATCTCCAGCTTGAGGGTCTTGAGAGCTGTCTTGAAACGACACAAACTCGCTTCACAACTCGACCGAGCCCTGCTGATGCTGCTTTCGTATTGCAATTTTTCGAGTGCCGCACTTGACACCTTCGGTCTCTGGGAGAGGAGTTGTCGCTGTTTTTCCTCAATCTTCTCGGCCTCTTCGTAGAGCCGCGCTTCGGCCGCCATCCTCATTTTGCTCGACGCCTCCATGTCTGCTTGGATCTGAAGCAGAGGGGTCTCTCTGTGGACCCCGGCGGCATCTGAGCTCATGCGGTCTGCACGGAGCAACGTCTCTCCCCTTTGCAGGCGCATGTCCGCTTGGGTGCCGAAGGCCTCCAAGTCCTCGGAGTTGTGAAGATCGCACCTCTGCTTGAGGCCTGCTGTGATGCTGTGGCGGCTGCCATCTCTGTCTTCCAGGCCGGTCCACACACGCAGCAGGACCTCGCCATTCACAGTCTTCGTCTGACTGGTCGGCTTGTCCAGCTCCTTCTTCCAACGGGTGGGGAGCTCCTCGGGCGAGCAACCGGTCACCAACCTTTCTGTTGCGGCCCAGTCTCGGAATCTGGTCCACCGGGCCACGTCATCGCTGCCGCTGTGCGGGCTGCGATTCTCCTCCACGATTCCGACGCCGCTTTCGAACGTGCGCTTCTTGTTTGAGAAGCCTTCAGCTTCTCTCTTCGCTTTCTGCTTCCTGTACCATTCGGCTCTGTCCTCCTCGCTCATCTTGGCCACTTCGCTTTTGACCTTTTCGGCCTTGATTCTCATCTCTTGCTCTGCCGGGGTTTCGTCAGCCCCCTTGGTCTTGGTCTTGCAAGACCTCTGCAAGGACTTGTCAGTTGCTGCACAACCTGTACACACACGCTTCAGGGCATTCCGCCCTGATGCATGGGAGTTCTCCAGCAACACAGGGTCCCTGCACTTCTGACACACAAGCTGTGTCTCAGACATCGCTCGGTGTCGGCAGAAAAACGAAGAGTACTCTCGTGGCGAGGCAGGCAAACTCGGCACTGCCCGGGCTTCCTAAAAGAAGCAACCTGAAAAGCAAAACGGCTGGAGACATGATATGAAAAATTCCATCATGGAGTGGCTGCTACTTCCTTCCAAAGTTCTCTCTCTCTGTCTCTCTCTTTCTAGCTCCTGCTGATGTCGTGGCACTTTCTTTTCCTTGGTCCACGCCTTCTCGGTGCAGGGTGCTACAGAAAAGTGTTGTCGGCCGCACTAATTATGGTGGATGTAGCCCTGGTAAACTATCTGCAAAGGGATGACAGCAATACAAACATTATGAACAGAACACTGGCCACATCCCTAGCTGCTAGCGCATATCAAATTATCTTGCACTTCGTGCAATCTAATTGATTTATGCAAGGACATCACAAGGTCTTGAGTGCCCATTCGATGGTTGCCCTCATTTTTTGTCTTTTTCTTGGTGGTGAAACAACAGCTGGCTTGGTGCTGGGTGCATCACAAACTTCTGCAAAACAAAGACTGCTGAGCTCAAGTCGAGACAAGCGAGGCTGCCGAACACCTCGCCACAACTTCCCAGCTACTACAGCAGCACGCAGGAGTGGGGCCAACATTATGCTGGCCTGCAAAAAGTTGAAACAGTTGCCTGCTGCCTGCAGAACATGTTGCTTGCTTTTGAAATGCTGGAGAAGATTTGGGCTGTGACCTTGAAGGATGAGCCTTTCTTCTGGCAGCACATAACGATGAAACTCCATCTGGCTGCTGGGCAGATGGATGTCTGCAGTGGACAGCACAAACAATAGAGGCCCCTGTGTTCGCAGACTGGGCACCCGGTCTTTGTGGACTCTCCCTCCGACGGCCCGCAAGGGGCATCTGTCCAACTCGACAACAGCAAGGTCGAACTCGTGCTTTCGCCTCTCTTCTGCAACTGCCTGGATGTAAAGCTGGAGGTTGGCAGCTTGAGTTGCAGTCATGCTGTCTGTGGTGTCATTAGCTTTACCTGGCAGGAGCAAGCTTCGGAGGGTGGGAGGTTGGATTCCGGCAGTCTCCCAGGGCTGACGCAGCACGGCAGGAAGCTTGCCATCTTCTGACAGGCAATCTTTTCTCAATCCTCTTACCCATAACCTTTCGCGATGCATAGGCCCAACTGAACCCAAGTCGTGTTTAACAAAATCGATTTCAAACCATGGGATGCAAAGCCGCAGTCGCTCCAAGGTGTCATCAAGAAAACGTGAGCCCATCATGGCCGAACTGTTTTCCAAAAGGAAAAACATCAGGCTTCCTCTATGTGCAAAATGAATAATCATTTCCACTGTCTGTTCCCACACTTCGCACCTTGGATCTGCTTGCTGAGGTCGCAACCCGCACATGGCCCAAGGTTGGCAGGGAGGCCCAGCGATCAGCCCCTCGGGCTCCTGTTGCAAAGAAGCAACGTCGACCTTCAAAATGTCGCCATGCATGCCCAAGTTGAGCTGATCTGCTTGCTGCCCCAAACAATCTCTCCAAAAATGCGCAAGGCCTTTGTCATTTTCATAAACAGCTGTTGGCTCCCAGGACACGCCCACGGAGGAACACAAAGACCTATAACCACTGATGCCACAACATGGCTCTGCCACCACAACAGCCCTTTCCAGAAACTGCAAGGGCTGCAGTATTGTTCGCAGCAGCAATGTTAGCGAACTTGCCATGTTTGAGCCGGCATACACCAAAACAGCTGCCGACGTTCAGATCCGAGCTTTGTGCTTGAAAGTTGTTTGTGGATTTGGGTTTTGGTGGCTTTGGGCTTTGGGGTGTGCTGATCTGCTATGAGGATTGCAAAAACCTGAACCTTGAGGCTGAAAGGCAGTCGCTTTTTTCCGCACAGCACTGGGCTTCAAAGCCCGGTTCACTTTAAAGCAAAATCGTGCACTGTGGCACGCAGAACATGTTGCTATCCTAGTGGATAAGTATCCACAAGCAGCCTGAGCCAACACCTTCACTCAGTCTGTGTGTCTTCGGTGTCGGGGTTTCTTGGGATCATGGCCGCTTCAAAACTTTCCACAATGCCGTGGACGGAATTCACGCTGGTGACACAATCGGTCACAATCCCTTTAAGGCTGCTCATCTTTCTGTTGAGTGCCGCATTCTGTGACCAGAGATTCCTGTTGTTTCTTGCAGTGCCAATATTGTGGCATCCTTCTGGTTTATCTCGCTTTGAAGTGCGAGGTTGTCAGACCTCGCTCGCTTCAAAGCTGCCTCTGTCATTTCCTTGCTTTTGTCTGCAGCAAGGGCCCGCTTCCTGTCTTCGTGCACTGCTTGGACGAGCTCCAGTGCTTCGCTTCTTGTTAGGGGATACTCGTTTTTGCGAGTGGTTTCCGGGTCTTCAAAAAACTGGCGAAGGCCTCGCTTGAACTTAATTACTGGGTCGTTGGTCGCAGGCCTTGCTGGCATTGCACTTGCTGCTGTTGTGGCCTCTGTTGGCCTTGCTGGCATTGCACCTGGTGCTGTTGTGGCCTCTTTGGCCGCAGCACACACAGGTGTTGCCGGATCTGATGGCATTGCTACGATGCTACGACACAAAATCGCAAACAATCAAAAGTTGTTGCTTGCTGCAAGCCAAAAGCACTGCAGTATAGCTGGAAACATAGAAAACACGACATGCACCACATATTCAGTGCAAACATGCCATGGATCACATATGGAGCTGCTGCGGGTCCCTTCGGGGTCTGATTTCATGCTGCCCGCCTCTGAAAATGCCCGAAAAAACAAGTTTCGCATGTGAAGGGGACTGTGAAAGGCCGTTGGAGGGGAAGAGCCGGGAGGGACAGCGGAGGGACAGTGGAGGGACAGTGGGAGCGACAGTGGGAGGGACAGCGGGAGCGACGGGAGCGACGGGAGGGACAGCGGGAGCGACAATCGGAGCGACAACAAGCCAACGGGAGCGACAGTGGAGGGACAGTGGAGCGACAGTGGAGGGACAGTGGGAGGGACAGTGGACGACCCAAGAAGAACCCATGACCAAAAATGTGCTTCCAAGCCCAATTCTGGCTTAAAGGCCCTAATGTTCAACAAAATCACACCAAATCTGTGTGAGAACTATCTTTGCCCTTGTAAAACCAAGCAACGCCGAAACTTTGTGCACACAAAGGCCTAAATGAAGCCCTTTACCTCCCACAACCCAGGCCCACGCCCTTCAAGTCAGCTTTTTTTCTTGGAAGACCCGAAGATCTCTGTGCCTCTCCAGTGCAGCGGTGCAAGCCAAGGAATTGTGTCCTGAAACATAAGAAAGTGCCGTCTGTGTCAAAAATATGTACATACTGCATAAACCACATCCTGAAACATAGCAAAACACTGCCTAAGTTCACAAAAGACAACATCACTGACACAATTCCTCAGTGCACAAAACGCACCCCTTGGGCAGGACCGTAGGTCCAAGGCCCAGGCCCGAGTGCCGGGCACGGTGCCTCCACAGCCAGCTTTGGACGCCAATCTTGTGGCAGAGCCCAATGCATGGATTCAAAGGGGTGCCACTCTTGTGGCAGACCCTAGCCCTAGCTGCCTAGCTGAGGCCGAGGCACCCTAGGGCCGCTTGGTGGCGATGGGCCCTGCTTTGGCAGTGGCATGTTATCGGGGACGTCCGGGACGTCAGCTGGCACTGCCGGCTTCTTTCGTGGCTGCCGCTTGGGCTGGTGCGGTTCCGGCGCCGGCCCTTGACCACTTCCGGCTCTGGCACATCCTCTGCCTGCGGCGCTTGGCTGGCGTGTTTTGCTTGGTAGTGCTGCTGGTAGCTGTATTGCGTCTTGAAAGAATTGTGGCAAGCCATGCACCGCAGCCAGTTGCGCTGGATGGTAGCCTCACCTCTTGTACGGAGGTGGACTCCATCGTCCTCCTCCTGCCGCTCTTCATGCGGCTTGCGCCACCACTGATGATAGCCCTGGTAGCCGCCTTGCCATGTTGGCGGCGCTGTCACCGGGCTCCACGAACGGTAGCCATCGCGGCCACCGCTGCCACCGCCACGGCCACGGCCGCCATTGCCCCGGCCCCATGTGTCATCATCATCGCCGCCGCCACCAAGACCCCGGCGACTGCGGTCTCTGTCCTGCTGGTCCCGGCGGCGGTCCCAGTCCTGCTGGTCGCTCTGGTGACGGTCCCAGCCTCTGTCCTGCTGGTCCCCCCGGTGACGGTCCCAGCCTCTGCCCTGCTGGTCCCGGCGGGGGCCAGATCCCAGGAGGGGGATCTGACATTGCCTTCGCCTTCTTTGGCATCGCCTTCACCTCCGGTTTCCTCTTGGAGGAAGAAGCTGCCTCAGCCGCAGCTCTCTTTTTTTCATCTCTCTTTCTTACTTCCACCTCCTCCTTTCCCTTCTCATCCCTTCTCTCGGGCGGCTTTCTGTCTTCTCGTTCCGAGCTTGAGCTCCGCATCTCGCCACCACTTTTTCTCTTCGTGGCTTCAGCCGCCTTCTTCCGAGGATCCTCCCCCTCGGAACTGTAGTACGTGTACGAGGGCGACGACGACGTCGACCGTCCTGCAAGGGAGGTTGCTTCTTGGGGATCTTTAAGGTAACCTAGTTTTGGGGTGGGTCTTTATGTCTCATGTCTTTATGTTAGCCTACTTTTGGGGCTGCTTTAAGTTATCTTAGGTCTTCGTTTGTTCTTAACATGACACTATCCACAGCACCTGGTAGTTGGTTGGCAGAGGTCTGGCTTTGCGCTGCACCTGCACAAGTTGAACTTGTGAGGTCTGCAGTACAAAACCACCTGCTGCCAACACTACAGGTCTGCTGTGGGTCCTTCTACAGGCACAAAAAACTCGATCAATCTTTCCTCTACCACCCCTACCCCAAACTTAAAGCCGCAGTCCTCGTCCTTGCTTCGGGGGTGGCATCCCCACCCAAACTTTCAAACCTTCAAACGGCTGCGGGAAGACATATACCATGGCACACAGACACACATGCACATGCTGAAAACATGTCTCACGCACACAGGAGGCACATGCTGAAAAAAAAACTGCTCACACAGGAGGCACATGCTGCAAAAAAACACTGCTCAAAACACTTCCTACAAAACTGGTAAGCTTCTGAATCTTCTCGTTTCTAGACACCCATGGCTTGCCGCTGAACCATTACATCAATCTCGGCTGCAGTTGGCCGCAGTTCAAGGTGAGAGTCAGCATCCTTTGCTGGCATGGATACCCAAGCAAGCAGCTTGGCCACACTTCGATCCTTCCCTTCAACATCTACGAAAACATAAAGTCTGCACTTCTTGCCATGCTTTGGGCATTGGCAAAAGGCCCGCAGCCTGCCAGATTGATGAGTATAATTATCGAAGTAAACTTTGACCTGGTCCAGGCCCGGGATCTTGGACATGACAGGAGGCAATGCTTTGATGTCTGGTCTGCCCAACAGCGGTTCAGACGGCTCCTCTTGGGCAGCCAGATACTCACGCAACTCCTCCAAACTATGCACACGGTGAGACCTCTCCGGAAGCTCCAAGGCTCCCTCCATTTCTTCATCATTCGGATTCTGGATCGCCTTCCTGCCTGCCTTCTTTCTGGGCTGCTTCAGGCTGGCCAAAAAACCCGAAATCTGCTCAAGACTGAGGCCAGAAATGGACGACATATCCTCTGCCTGCAACAGAAAGTTGTATAGTACTGTTCAGTGCATGTGTGGAAAATTACCTTCAGCCCACCTGGCTTCCCAAACAAAATTGGGGCCAGGAACAAGCACTTCAGGTGTGCCTCGGGTCGGGACAGAACCCTTGCGGGTATTATCCGTGGGCCATCACACTCAAGCTGTTTTGGCTGCGGTCGGTCACGCCATGTCCATTCCATACGAACAAGGCCCCGAACAAACTCTAACTTGTTCAACCCACGGACATGGCTCCTCCTGTGGGCAGCCACCTGGGCATGCGACAAAGGCACTGGGTGCTTCCAGCGCAGGCTCATGTGGAGGAGAAAAGGGGCTGCAATGTCCACCAGCCATTCGCCGAAGTCATCTTCGAATATTTGCACAACACGCCTTTCGGCCAACCGCAACACAACTGCCAGACTTACTCTGGCGCTGGTGACACTCGCAACAGGGACTGCCGTCGAGCCCACAGCTCCAGCATTCAGCACAGCAACTGCAGCCTCTTGTTCAATCTCGCTCAGATTGATGCCTGCTGCCTGCACAACCACTTGCTGGGGCCCAGGCTCAGGAACAACAGCATTGGCCTGATGCATGAGTGCTTCCAGGCTTGCCTCATCGTCCAACAAGCGAGGAAGTCTCGCATCCTCAACCTCGAAAATGTCAGCTACCTCTCCTGGCTCTGCGGCGATCCCACAAAGCTCCATTGCTCTGCCTGCATTTTCGCAGCTCCACACACAAACCTCCCGCATCATCCGCACAAATATGTCTTCAGAGCAGGCTCTTTCCAGCTGTAACAGAACAGTCCTTGCATCTTGCTTGCTCACCTCAACCCTGGGATCTGGAGCCTGTTTTTGCAGCCACTTCACACGTGGAAACTCCTGCACCAGCATTGTGGTTCGGTTGCTGCTTTCTGCTGTGCCTTGCTTCACCTTGGCACGGTTCTCTGGCCGGGCATCAACAACTTGACAGAAAACAAAAGCCTCGGATGTGAAATCAGGGAGTTCCATCTCTTGCTCTCCCAAGCCAGCTTTCAAAGTCTTGTTGTCCAATTCAAAGCTAGGGCTGTCCGCATCCTCAATCTCCTCCTGATACTCTGGGTCTGATGTCAAGAGCTCAAAGAGATCTGATGGGAAGGTGCACAGGACACCGTTGCCCAGCTGTTGCTTCAGAAAAGAGACCCACTGTCGCATGTCAGCAGTCAAGGTGACCTCTGGCCTGGCTTGCCCCGCTAGAGCCCTCAAGAAAGCTGCTGCTGCATCATCATCCTCAGGTGTCTCCGCAAAATGATCTTCCTGGGAAAAGCAGTAGCAACGTGCAAGCTTTTGGGCCAAGGACATCTTTGCAATGTCGGCCGGGGCTACCACGTGTCCAAGCAGGTCCGGCCACATGCTGCGAGTTCTGAAATTCAGGATAACAAATTCCTTTTCGGCTGGAGATTTCAGCATGGCGAGAACCTGCTGTCTACGCTGTCTGGCGCAGGTGGTGGCTGGCATTGCTTTCTTGAAACCCCTCTGCAGTGCCCACTTTATCCCTTTGTGCTGACTTTCCAGATGTCGCTCAGCAAGTGGAGTGAATGCTCGTTCTTGCACGGCAACAAAGGCATGAGGGAAGCATTCCAAAGATCGAAGATTCTCTGTGCGCTCGTCTTGCATGCAGAATTCCCAGAGCTCTTTGCTTTCTGCTGTCTCCCTGCCAAAGAGATCCCGGCTCACCAAATCCATCTCATTGGCTGCTCGAAACTCTTCAAAGCAAGAACGCACAAAAGCAGTGACCTCGAGAAGCTCTTTGTCGACATACAATCTGAAAGTTCCTGCAATCTTAAATGGCAGCCGGGTGCACCAGGCAAACTTTGAGTCGAGGACGGTTTTGAGATGCACCAGAATCCAGCTGTTCAACTCCACCATCCTGCCACTCAGCTCTGGTGAGCATGTCAGCATTCTCTGCTGAAACTCCTGTGAGCCACCAGCCAGCTCGCCATCCGGGCCCTCCATTCTGCTCACGAAGCAGCCCCCTCCCTGCCAAGCCAGGCTGCACAGCCGTTTGCCTTTCCACGGGCAATGCTGGCCCAGTCCTGCAGCAGACGACCTTTTCCGTTTGCCTCTGAAGGCAATGGTTTTTTCGTGGCAGAAGCAACCCTCCAACCATCGAGCACATTCACCAAGGGTGCCGCTCAACGAACACGTCCAAAGAGTCATGACCTCGTTTCGCTCGGACCGCAAAGCTGACCCGATGGTCTTGGCCAGATCAATCTCCGTGTGGCCGAGCGATGACTCATCGGACCACTTATCACGGAGAATGGGAATCGCACGAAGCCAAAACTTGGCAATAAACTCGATTGATTCCCATCGCCAATCCAGAAGCTGTACTTGCAGCCCTCGCAGATGCGCCTCGTCTGCTGAGGTGAGGCCAGGGCAGTACTGGATGACAAGCTCCACATAAGATTTGTGACCAAAGACCTTGCTGACAGCTCGCAGCTCAGTCTCGAACGGCCCTTGTGCCCGCCACAACGCTTGAGCACGCCACGCCAACGCCGGTTGCTGTAGAAAGCGGTGCTTTTCCGAACCGGTCGGCCATGTTTATCAACAGCACCCAGCATGCATTGGTCCAGGTGTTGCTTGTTGATGCCCTCGTGCTCAAGAAGACGGCTCACAGGGCTTTCTGTGAACATGGCAGAAGACAAGGGCTGCTCAACCGTAAAACCACGGCCTTCATTGTGCTGCCACAAACATGCCTCTTGCAGGAACTCCAAAGTAGGCAGCTCAGCACAGCGGTTGGCCTGTCGCTTTCCTGGGTCGACTCCTGCTGTAGCCACTGACCACGGACCACAGTTCGGTGCTGCAAACAAATGGTCTGGAGAGAAGGCTTCTTGAAACTGTCGCAGCAGCAACTGGTGGGGAGCGTGGCCGTCGTTTGTGAACTCGGAGTCGCATTGGTCTCATCGTTCTCGTTCTGCTTGTAGTGGATGTGGTACCGCTCACGCTCCTGGTCGGAGATCGGCCGCTGTAGGAAGCAGTGTCTGATCTCAGGCCTCACATCATCCCAGCGGTCCGCGATCTCCCGTGTCCAACATGACAACTGAACTTGCACATCCTTGTTCTCCTTCTCGGCCACGAGGTTTGCCTCATCGGTGGGCAGCAAGTAGTGCCCGGAGTCGGTGAGCAAAATGCACATGACATGCGCTTCGCCCTTCTCGGTCTGAACAACCAAGGCACCGTCACCATTGCAAAACCTATTGGTGAGAATGGCTGCTCGCTGTCGACGTAGTGCTGGGTTGGACAGAAGAGCTGGGCACAGTGATCCTTCACCACCAAGAACATCGGCCTTGTAGGTGGCCTCGGCGCCCGCAAGGGTCAGAGGAACCTCAACCTCGCCGAGGGTGGTGTCGGCGTTGCCGCTGATGCCACTGACATTTGTGGTCTTGCTTCTGTCCCAGCGAACAGCATCGGCCTGGTCGCGAGGGCAATGGGCGAGTAAGTCTCGCAAGGTCTCTGAGCCCACCAATCCGGAAGCTGCTCCTGGATCCACTAGCAAACCACGTCGCTTGTTGCCGAGGATGGTGTGGTAGGTCTCTGTGCTGTAGATGGAGCTGGCAAAGTTGAACGCAAGCTTCTTTTCCGGCAAGGCAGGAACTGCATTGTCCTCCGAGGCATCTTGAGCAGCGTCACCATTGCCTGCTCGTGGACGACTCCTGGGAAGGATAGGCTCCTCATCATCGCGGTCCATCTGGAAGTGCACGGTTTTGCGAGGAGGTGTCTCGAAAGGCTTTTCCGAATCAAAGCTCCGGTGCAACGTCTTCTCGTTCCTGGCGAAGCCGAAGTAGGGAGAACTCCAGCTGGCACCTTTCTTTCCCCGGAAGCCCTTGCCTTGCGGAACCCATTTGCCTTTACCGCTGCCCTTGCCGCGACTCTTGCCCTTCTTGCCGTAGCCACCGCCGTAGCCACCTGAGAAGGGCTTACCGGAACCTTTCCTTTGGCCCAGGATGAGCCCTTTCCTTCCTTGCCATCAGCCACCGGGCAAGAGGAAGCGTGGTGCCAACGAGAGCCGCAAATCGAACATCCCGTTGGTTTGCCCTTGCCCTTGCCCTTGTGCATGGGGTAGCTCTCAGCCGTGGCAGCGCCCGAGTGACCAGGGGAACTTTCGCCGTGATAGGCTGGATGTTCTGCATCTGTTTCCGGAGGTGGTTCCTCTGCTTGGCCATCTGCGGGCCAGGCTTCTTCCTCGTACTCGGAGAGGTAGTTGTCGTAGTCCGGAACCCAAGACCAGCCTTCCTCGTACCAAGCCGCCGTATCCCACGGCTGCTCCCAATCAGATGTCTCCCAGTCCCACTCGTCGGCGTACCACTCCTGGAGCTCATCGACGGCCTCGTGCTCGTGCTCGTAGTAGCTGTCGTTGCCGCCGATGTCGTCCTTGCGGCTGATAAGCCGAAGAGCCAGAGCTCGAGCCTCTCTGAAGAGGCGAAGGTCGCCCTGGAGCTGCAGCTTGATGTCCTCGATGAACTTAGCCGGTAAACCTGAGCCACGGAAGAACAGGTAAAACTTCGCCACGTCGTTGATCTGAAGCCCTGCTCTGGTTGTGGCCTCCTCAAGCTTGCAGTCCCACTCTATCGAGTACTCTTGGAAGCTCAACTTCCCTCGGCGGTGCTCGAAGAACTCCTCGATCGACCTTGAAACCAGCTCCTGGTCCGAGACGCCAAAGGCGTCCTTCAGCGCGTTGCACAGTGCTTGGATGCCGGATGGCACATGCCTTTGAAGAACCACCGTCGGGTCATTGGGATCTCTGACCTCGTCGACGGTGAGGCGTGCAAGCGCATCTCCTCCTACGTCCACGCCACATCTGGCCTCGGAAGCCTGAGCAGTCGTTGGGCTTTCCCCTGGAGCCGCCCGGCCACCAACGGTCCCACCATGGAGTCGTCGCCGTCATAGACCTGGTACCAAAGCTTGAGTCTCTCGAAGAACAAGCGAAGGGGGTAGTCTGGTATGCCCGGTCCCCATCCTGGAGGAACTTCCCGTCTGAACTCGTGAAGAGGGATGCCTCCGGTGCCAGGTCCCGAACTGGAAGACGACGCCATGTCTCCGTCGAGGAGGTAGAAGAGGAAGTGGTAATCGAGGGGGCCCTGAATCTGGTTCCCGAGGTAGAGGAGAAACTCGAAGAAGAACACGTGGATCCCGAAGGCGTGGAAAACTGGAGAAAAGGAAGCCTCAGTGGCCTGCGCGGTGCCACCGGCTCCGGAGAAGTGCCGCTCTGCTGCGGCCAGCAAGGGGTGACTCCCAGCTCCGATCTTCCCAGGCAGCTCACTGCCAGTGTTCTGGTAGTAGGTGTTGTCGAGGATCGTGTAATCCAAGGGGAAGTCGGGCTGCTCGAATTTTGTGCCTCCAGTCAAGTTCAGCCCACAATCTGAATTCTCAGCAAAGTAGTGAAACTCCTGGATCGGCTCCTCAGCAAAGGTGAAGGTGTTGGGCAATGCGATGCCCGTCTTCAGTAGTAGACACCAACACGCAAGACGAATTGAAGAAGAGGCCGCCGTGGATGTCCTGAGGGAGCGCCGCACAAAAGCAGCGCGAGGACGAAAGTCCTCCGGCAGCCGAAATGGCGTTTGGATCTACGCTGAGCCCGGAGGCTCCGCTACCAAACTTGCAAAGCACTCCTTTCTTAGAGCCCAAGCGCGCTCACGTGTCGGAAGGTCTGCAGTGCACATGTACATGACTGAGGCATATGTATGCATGAGCAAAGGGAGTTCTCGAAAGTTCACTCATACACACATACACACATACACACATACACACATACACACATACACACATGCACACATGCACACATGCACACATACACACATACACACATACACACATACACACATACACACATACACACATACACACATGCACACATGCACGTACACATGCACGTACACATGCAAGTGCACATGCACGTGCACATGCACTGCACACTGCACCTACACCTACTAGTACACTTAGACCTACCCTGACACCGACGCCGACACCTACTCCTGCACCTACAACCTACAACCTACACCTACACATACATCCATGCATGGATGCATGCATACAAACAACCGTCAGTTTTCGCGTCACCCCACCCTACAGCCCGGCACGCTCATTTCTTTTAGCGAAGCGGTTGGTCACGGGTTTAACCCGACGTCGGGAAGCGGGGCTGAGCCTTACAGCTCCACCTCCTGCCTAACTTCAGACGAGGGGCCGTACCTCCTGTCTTCTCTTCGCCTCCTCGTCCTTGCTTTTTCGAGCCCTTTGGCTTTTGCCGCTTTCGGCTTTCCTACTCCTTACCTTGGTGGACGAGAGGGGGAACAGGGCAGAAGCCCGCAGCCACCTCCGACGTCCCAAGATGCCAAGCCCAGCCCCAAAGGTGGTTAGGCATCGGAACTTACCCGTCAAGAGGTCTGGACGGGAAAACCCAACGACTGACCACTGACAGACCCAAGCAAAGCCCTCGCAATCTTCTTGATCACGTAGAGCGTAAAGCCAAGGTTTGGTGGGTGGGAGGAAACGGATGTTGTCCTGGGCTGCCCAAGCTTCCTCTTCGCTGGGCTTGCCCCCGCCATGGCCATCCCTGCAAGAGCGCCGCCGGCTGCACGAAAGGGGTGGGAGCCGTATTGAGCAACTCCACATCCGCCTTCTGGCCTTCAGTCGCCAACTCTCCAACTGTCTCGACTCGACCACAGACAGGACTCCCTCGCCCGGGGCTACGTAAAGTAGTCCGGCTTTGTAAAGTAATCCGGCTTACTCACGGTACCTGCCGGGGCTACGTAAAGTAATCCGGCTTTGTAAAGCATCCGGCTTACTCACGGTACCTGACGCAGGAGTGGCCATGCGCGCGACATTGACCGCCATTCGCAAAGCATCGGCTGGGATATTCGGGAGAATCCGAAGACTGGGAACACCACCCAAAGCCCGATCAACAGCCCCCCAAACCGCGGGTGACTAATGCATCAAGCCCTGACCGTGCAAGGACCCCAGCCACATTGGTGATGCCGTTGACCTACTCCTGCTACGGCAGGTTAGGCGAGGCCATGCTTCGAGAAACGGGGACCGGGGGCGCAGTGGCCCCACCTCATTCCTGGGAACCCCTCGAGCCACAGCTCCCTCGACGGACCAATGATCGTCAAAACCCTGCCTGCAGCAACACCCGGTTGTTATTTATGGCACTTCGTGCAATGCACTACATACATACGTACATACATACATACACTTACTTGGGAAGAGGGGCAGGAAAGCTAGGGCAAACAAAGGAAGCAGAGTCGATGGAGCTCGGTCGCTATTGCATGCATGCTCGGCAGCATGGGCGCAAGCACATATGCATTCCCATGAGCTTTGAACTTTGAAACCTACAAGACAATAGTACTCTTCTGCATTACACTGCACACGTCACATACAGATACGCCATTGTTTGAATAATATTTTGACCGACCTCATTGCGCTCCGGAACGTCCCTGCAGAAGCAACAACTCGGCCATCTACGAGCAGCTTCGATCTGTCCTGGTGGCAGCTTAGCTAATTGCTGAGGCATCAGCTTTGAAACCTGCCACATAGACGCACTCGGCCACGTAAGGGCAAAATGCAAGTTGCCATGTTGCTTCAACAGATGGACCTTAAGGTGGGGGGTTGTTGTGTGTGTCGGGGGCCCCACCAAGCAAGGTGCTGGACACAATTTTGACCCTGAATTGGTAAACGACAACTCCCGCAAGCTCCAGAGAGCTCCAGTAGCTTTCGTGATAACATTATGTATGTATAATACCGTAAACACACCAACACACATGTGAACTGTTTGCATAAATACACGCATGTTCCTGCATGCATGTAGATGTAATACAGTATGTGTATGTGTGTATATATATAAATATAAATATTCATCTCTGCATAATATGTGCATATATATATATATATATATGTATATATATGTATATACATACATATATATATATATATGCATATATATATATACTAATGTTTATGATTATGTCTATGGATACGTCTATGCTCTGCTATGTATATGGCTATGTAATGTATGACGAAAGCTGTATATGCACGATAGATACAGTACCAATAATTGCATGCAGTGTACACGGGTTGGTCTGCCGGGGCTCGCTTGGCTTCAAAGGCTGCTTAAGCCAGCTGTCATGGCTACGCTACAGGCCACAATGTCTTCGCGGGGGGTTGCCTGCCTGATGTTGCGCGTGCAGCTGTCGTTGACAATGCCGTTGAAGCTACTGGAGATGATGTTTCAGTTGGAGAGGCGATAACACCTGCACCGCCCCCCTCCGTCACTCGACCGAGTCACAATGCAAAAACTACTTGTGCAGAGTGGTGCTTGGCCTGAACGACAGGTCCCAGCAACGGCTCCAATGCAGACATCTGCCAAAGACAACACGAGGCCATCCTCGCAGGATCTCGTCTCAGTGGCTCTCAGTGTTTGGACCCTCAAGACATCCCACAATGGCATTCTAGCTGAAGGATCCCCATCACAATGATAGCTCTAAGCCCCATCCCTGGAGGATCTCAGAAAACAGCAAGGCCCAGGGCATTGAAGTGACCTCTCCCAAAGAAACACAGGCAAGGTCTGCTTCTCGGGGTTTGGGGTTCATGGCTCCCTCTGTTCAGCGAAGCATCGGCAGGCCAGCTCGTCCCGTAGTCAAAGGAGTAAATTCCAATTTGCGGTCCGGTGGTCGCTGCAAGCATGTTGACCTGGGGATGCGCATGTGATTGTCGATGAATGGGCAGGTGGGAGAGCAAAGCTTGCTAAGAGCGGAGCTGGCAAGGTTCCTGAACCCAAGACCACGCCATTCACGGAGACCTCTGCAGCACCTGCAGATCCGTGGCAGCCAGAAGCTTCAAGAGATCCGCGCGGGAAGTCGATTTCCGGCCTGTCGACGCTTGGAAAGCAACCTGGATATGGTACCATGTAGACTCAGAGATCTCCAGCTCAAAGTCCCAGGAATTCGGATAGTCATCGGTCATGAAGGCAACGAGTCGGAGCTTACCTTCACCTTTCGGATGACCTCATGGCGCGGAATACTGGGCTGAACGCAGAGGACCATGCTACTGCTGCTCGTACCTCTTAACAACATAGCATAACAATAGCCGTTGGTTTTGGTGCAGTTATTGCAGGCATTGCTGTTGATATTGGGCGATACCATCTCGACCTTCATCACCATCCCAATCTTCATCGTGAGTGTTACGATTAGTGGCACTGCTGCTCATGCTCGTGTAGGAGCGCAGGAATCTTCGCCAAGGCTTCCGCGTCCATGTTGAGTGTCTTACCATCCCCTAAACACACCCTCCTACATGCTTGAAGTGCGCCTTATTTGATCCCGTTATTGACCCGCTTGCTAGGATTTCTGTTCTGTGGTCGATCGTAGTGGACGGATGTGGGTGACCCAACACAAACCGTCACGTGCATTTGCATGACGTCTTCTAACCCACGACGTCCCACCCCACCCACCACCCACCCAGTTGCAATATCGTTCGGAACTTACGGTTCAGGGCTTTAGGGTTGAGGGTTAGGCATTGTAGGGCTACGGTTTTAAGGTGTCAAGTTTAGGGTGTCGGTTTGGAAGTATCCTTGGCCGACGGATGTTGCGAGGAGCAGACGGTGTGCCACAAGCGTAGGCTTTCATGCAGAAACAAGTGCTAATGCAGAGGTTTGTACTGATAAGCAGCCGGGTACATCAAGAACCACCCACGCACCCATGCACTCACCCACACCTCCCCACTCACACTGGACTCTACTCCACCGTGCTCACCCGACCCCATGGCAACTCCCCCACCCCCGGGGAGAGTCCGCGTGGCAGTTGGCCAGTTCTCCTACTCCGGCCACCACCACAACCGCCGCTGCTACTTGACTGTACGGCCACCGAGGCGAGTATACTTCGTGCGATGTTGCCAAGCCACTTGGAGGCACCAGCCCCAGGATGTTGCCCGAGTCGGTCCAAAACAGCACTTTCACGAAGGCTCCAGTCCTTGAGAACATCACTGTGCAATCCATACAGAGCTCAGGAGGTGATTGCTGGAAGTAGCACACCAACGTGCTGTATGAACGAGCGGCTGGCTCACACCACGAACCATCAAAGAGAAGCTAAAGGCAGCTTCGCCAGTGGTCCAGCACTCGGAATATGCTTTGCCATTGCAGAACTGGGCATATGCGAAAGCTCGATAGGGCATCACGCCCAAAGCATCTTCCTGGCGGAGCTGTCGATTGGGATTATCTTTCCGGTAGAAGCTGTCATGCCTGCCTGTCCGGCCAAGATGTGCCAGCTGCCATCCTGAAATTTCACAGCACATCGAGCGACTGAAGCCTTGCACGTGAACGGAACTGACCATCATGCGCATGATCGTCGATTTTCTCCAAGAACACGCATGAAAAAATCATAGGGGCGAACCTTGTCAGTCCCACGACTTGATGACAATGGCAAGCAGACAAAGACTGAAAGGGGCAATGAAAAGCACTCCGAAGGGGTTGCCCCCACAGCTTTCGACGGACTTTAGTTATCCTCCGACAACCGTCGCACTCTGCCCGACGTTGAACCAAAACTGAGCACTACGACGAATGTAGCCATTCTTTTTCGTCGTGTGGTAGCAGCGCTGTATCACGCCGTTCGGCGAAGAAACAGGCTGGAACGACGAGCCGGTGCCGGGGCGCATTCTGCACCCGGCCCGCTGTCGTTCGCCTTCCGCCGAAAACGGATCAAAAGGGCGGTGAGGGTGGGTAAACTGAAAAAGCTTCGTCGAGCCAGAGTGCTGCCGACGTTCGTCGTTTACGGTTGTTACTGCACACACACGTGTGTTTCACAACAACCGTCGCACTCTGCCCGACGTTGAACCAAAACTGAGCACTACGACGAATGCAGCCATTCTTTTTCGTCGTGTGGTAGCAGCGCTGTATCACGCCGTTCGGCGAAGAAACAGGCTGGAACGACGAGCCGGTGCCGGGGCGCATTCTGCACCCGCCGTGCGCACCGACTCTCCACCCCGCGCCGGCTCAGACGTGGAAGCCGTTGGCCAGCTCCAGGAGGTGGTCCGCCGCCTCCGTCGTGGCATACTCGAGGTCCTGCGCCGACCGGGCGAAGATGGAGAGGATCTCGTCGGTTGGCGTGGGGACCCTGTGCCATCCCTCGGCCGTCGCCCTGCTGAAGTCGTCTCTGGAGACGGCGTCGGCGACGTTGGGGACTCTCTCGAACTCGACGAACCACCCTTGGTGCGCCGCAAGCGTCCAGAAGGCCGAGATCATGCCGTTCACCGCGGCGTCTTTCCCGTATCCCTTTGTAAGGGCTGCCTGTCCGGCGGTATTGTCGATGAATGCGACGATGGCCGGCGGCAGTCGGGCGCCGAAGGCGACAAAGGCGACGAGCTGGGCCAGCACTTCGAGCATGTAGATGTAGGCCTTCCTCGTCGAGAAGAGCTTGACAAACCATTCCGGCGCCACGCCGTGGTCGAAGAAGACCTGGTCGCCGATTCGTAGCACATATCCCCAGCCATTCGCCGCCTTCTTCGTCGGACGTACCCCCTGGGGTACGTGGCCAGCCTTGTGCCTGGTCTCCCCGTCGGTGAAGAAGGCGTCGGCGTACAGGATCGCGACCTCCATCTCCTTGGCGTCGAACGGAATGAATCTAGGGCGGATCGTCGGCAAGATCCTGGCCAAGGAACGTAGGGCCGCCGTGAGACCGTCGGACAGGGAGTCCGCCGTCCATGCCGCTGTGTCGGCCGCTCGGGCGTAGACTGCTTTCGTCGCTGCCCTTGCGACGGATCCGAATGCCGCTTGTGTCAAGAATGACACTCGCCCGGCGAGCTTGGCAGCCTCGGCGGGTGACAGGGTATCCTGGTCGAGTGCCCGGCGGATCTGTTCCATGATCTTTTCTACCCTGACCGCCGTCGGTTTGAGGGTGACTCCCCGTGCGTCGACCTGGAACTCCACGCCCTGCACTATGTGACTCTTCGCCGGGTGCTGTGCCTTCGACGCCTTGGTGAGGAAGCCCAGCGCCGCGAAGAGGTCCTGGAACGAGACCATCGCCGACTCGCCGAGGAGGGCGTCGTCGAGGCCGTTAAAGTCGTCCACGTAGTGACCCGTCGCCAGGAGCAGTAAGCCCCTGAGCAGCTGCTGAAGTGCGTCGGCTCCCCTGTTAAAATTCCAGACTGACGCCGTAGCGCCGAAATTCATGGCCAGGTGGTACCAAAAGGTCACGCCGTGCTTCGTCGAGATGAAGGTGCCGCACTCCGCCGGTCGTCGAACCGGCCACTGGCGGTAAGCGTTGAGCAGGTCGTTGCCAAACACCACGACGTCGGGGGTGTCCTGGACCATGCGTCGCGCCAGGTCGACGAAGCTGCCGATGAAGTGGTGCGTCGGTACGTCGTCCACCGACACCGTGGCGTTATGCCCGCTGCGCCGCCAGTCCTCGGCACGTCGTACCTTGAGGTCGCCTTTCTCGTCGGTCTGGCAAACTGGAAAGGATCCTGCCAAGAAGTGCTCGCCGGGCGGCGGTTCGACCAGGGTGTCCACCTCGATCTGGTCGGGCACCGCCGTGGCCTTGGTGTGGAGCCATGTCGGCGCTGTCGTTGGGCCGATGACTCTGCCCAGCTTCTTCTCGGCGATGAGCTCCTGGAGCAACTGATCGGCGAATTCACCGCCGTCGTGCTGGGAAACCGTACTCGGCGTTGGTCCGGCGGAAGGTGTCCATGTCCGTCGGGTGCCGGTAGCGTCCGTCGTCTCTTTTCCTCCATCCTGGTCCTGGCCGGATGTCGCCGATCATCTGGAAGCCCTCCGTCATGTCGTGTTCGAGGGCGTCGATGTCGGGGTAGTCGACGAGGCGGAGCAGCTGTATGAAAACAAGCACTTGCGTCGGGGCCGGCTTATCCGGCGTCGAGTACGTGGCTCTAACCCATGATGATCTAGCGGCGAGCCACTCCCTGGTCTCGTCGGCTGTGTCCTCGAACATGGTGCGGACCTCGTCGACAACTTCCCGTCGTATCCTGGCCAGGTCGTGGCGCCAAGTTCGACGTATGACCAGGAGTCGTTCCCACGCCGGCTCCAGTGGGGCGTCTTCCGCCAGTGGGTGTGACATCGACCATGATGCGGTCCAGTGCTCCTGCTCGTCGAGGTCCTGAATGTCTGCCACGCCGGGCCGCGGCGGGGCTGGGGCCATGGTCGGACCGCCGGGTCCCCACAACGACGCCACCCACTGTAACGTCGATCGGCGAGGGGATCTTGGCACTGGGGTCGCCGTCGTCGGTGCCGTTGCCGTGAAGACCAACAGCGCCAATAGAAGACGTCGTGCGACTCCCCAGTGCCAGCCGTTGCCGATGAGGCGATGTCGAGTGCGATCGTCGAGTGCTCCGGCGGTGGATCTCGCCGTGTAATCGGCCGGCATGTGGTGAAGCTGTTCTTTCACCTTCGGCGGCAGTAGGTGTAGTCGGCCTTGATCGTCGGTCATCATGGCATCTCTGGCGTAGTGCCACGGCGCAAACTGCCGTCCTCCGGTGAGCCACCTCTGTTGGGTGTCCGACGTGATCTTCCCTCTCGTCGACCTTGGTGCCGCTCTGCCTCCCTCGTCGGCGGCTGGTGTCGTCGCACATGGTAGCCTAACCCTGCCACTGGCGACGGAGTCCGAGAACTTGAGGCCGTCGAGGTCGAAGTCGTCGGATGCCGCCCTGGGGGAGTCCAGTCGGAGTCGGTTCCAGCGACGGTGTAGAGCCCATGTCCAGTGCTCTCCCGTCGAGGGGTCACGAGGCAGATCCTCCCAGTCGATCGTCGACCACCAGAGGCGGGACCTCCCAATCCACCCGAAGTCGGCAGCGTCGGTGAGGATGGGTTCGCACTCCAGTGCTTTGGTGGCCGCCGCTGCGTCTGCCTGCGTCATCTCGACGTTTTCGACCAATTTTCCAAGCCGTCGAGGTGCAATCAGCGGCGTCAGCTCGGCGACGTACTCGGCCGTAAAGTTGAAGAGGTATCCTCTATCACCGCCGTGGCCCGCTCTGTCGCCGATCCTGGAGAAATCTTGGCACGGCGGAGCGGCGAGGAATAGGATGATGCACTGGGCGTCGGGGTCGATTGCGTCGATGTCCTTGGCCAGGGCCTTCGGCGTGTCCTCCGTGATGTCGCCGCGGTGCCGGACGTCGGGGATGTGGTAGTCAATCACCTGGATCGCCGCCCGGTCCACCTCCCATGAGAAGACCGCCCTGGGCTGGCCCACCAGGTCCCACACCAGCCACGGGCCTGCGCCGACACCGTCGAACGCCGACAACACGATCACCTCGTCGCCTTTAGGTCGCCGGCTGTAGAGCTTCACCTTCTTGGTCGGTTGGTCGGGTACCCCGTCGTCGACGGGGCCCCGTGCTGTCCCTAGCGGCGGTTGCCGCGGCCCTGGCCGTTGCCGCGCCACGGGCGTTGGCCTTCGGACTGGCTGGACTGTCCGCCGTTGCCGCCGTGCCACCACTGTTGGTTCTTTCCGTCGGTCTTCTGCTGCCACCAGCCGGCGTTGGTGTCCTGCTCGTTCTTCTTGCCGCCGCCCTGGGATTGATCTTTGCCGCCGCGTCCGCGCCCTTTGCCACGGCCCCCTTGACGTCGTCTTTTGCGGCCACCGCGACCGCCGCCTCCGGTCCATGCCTGCTGGTCGTCGGCGTCCTCCTCCTGGCCGTTGGGGGCGTCGGTGCGGGGGGCTACGGGTGAGACAGCCGTCGGTAAGTTCCGGGCGCGAGCCCTCGACGGTGATCTGATCTGAGCTGTGCGTGGTTTTCCTGGGTCGTCGTCCAGTTGGTGCCATAGCCGTCGGGGCCGCTCACGGCTATTGCCGGCGACCCCTCGGCGGAAAACTGGTGACGGCGATCCGTCGGTTAAGCCCGGCGTCGCTCAGTCGGAGTCCGACGTCGCTCCGCTAGTGGAGGACGAGGAGCTCGACGACGAGTCGATCGCCTCAGGTGCCTCAACGTCGACGGTTTCCGTCGGGAAGCACTTGCAGCATAAGGCCGGATCCGGCGGCAGCTCGGATAGGCGAAAGAACTGTCGCACGCCGTAAGGCCAGCCGCACTTGGCCTGCCAATCCGACCTCTCTGTCGTCGCTTCGTCGACCCCCGGCTTGTGCACCATTTTGGTGCGGCAGTTCATGACATACCGGGGCGCCGAGTCGCCGATCGCGTCGGCCACTGGCATCCTGACGGGTTCTGGCACGAACTCCACGCCGGGCACCTCTGCCGCGAAGTCGACGTTGGGCACCAGCTGTTGCGAGGCCGGCACCGCCGTATCGGCGTGCCCGGCCGCGTTCCCCGTCGGCATCAAGTCCATGATGGCCGACGGCGTCGGTGTCGCCAGGAGCTGGGCCGGCGTCGTTGTCGACGCAATTGCTGCTGCCAATGCCTGGGCTGGAACGCCGGCGGCCACGGCGAGGGGTGCCTGTTGAACATACCGTTCGACGGCGGTGGAGGCCCATCGGCCGAGCAGCTGGATCACGGCGACCGGGACCCCCCTCATCGCCAGAAAGGTTGCACCTGCCACTCTGGCGGCGTGGCCGCCGAAGATCAATCGGCGCTTGCCCTGATCGTCGAGGTACACCGTCTCGAAGCCGGCGGCGTCCAGCACCAGCCGAAACATCTCGGCTGACTCCGCCTTGGATCTCTGCACCGTCGGTCTGGTCGGAAACAAGAAGTCGGCCGGCGTCGCGGCCGCTGACGCCTGGATCCGCCTAAGGTGGCGGTGTGCGGCGCATCTTGGGCAAAGTGGGTGGGCCGTCGAAGTGCAGACGCATCGGAATGTGCGTCGTGTGAGGTCGGCCTGCCCCCCCTGCGCCGTCTTGTGCAGGGGTATGTCGAGCGACACCGCCGACAGGGTCACCCCGAGGTCTCTGACCCGGGCCGCCGCGAGCTCCACCTCCCTCAGCATAAACCAAGTAGCGACGATAACGACATCGACGGCGTGAGCGACCAAGCCGGCGTTGAAGGGCCCGAATGGTGCCGTGTCGTCGACCAACTTGGTGAGCTCGTCGAGGTCGAAGGCCTGTTTGAGCCTGGACCCTGGCAGGCCCCTCGCCGCTGCCTTGGTCAGCGTCTTGACCACCCGTCGGAGTCCAGGGGTGATCGGCGTGTGGAGGGTGTTCTCCTGATGCCATACCACCGCGTCGAGGTACAGCCCGGTCGACCTGTAGCCGGCGATCCGCATGGCCCCGGCGATGGTGTGAAGCTTGTTGGCGTCGAGCGGGAAGAGGGGAAACTGGACTCTGTCGGCTAGGGCGCCCACCGTCCTCACCCGCGACTCCATGGCCCGGCGGGTCGACGATGCCAGCAGATTGGCGTCGATGGCGGCGAGGGTGTCTTGGCGTCGCCCGGGATCCATGGCCTCCAGTGCCGCCGCCAGTGATGCCCGGGGTAGGGTCCTTCGGTTCGGTACGTCGTGCCTGGGTGGCCTTGCCGCCGTTGGCTCTGGCTGCTGCGGCGGCACCGGCGCAAGGATCTGTAGCAAGAGGCCCTCGGGCACGCCGTTCTCCAAAAGGACGGCGAAGGAGTCCCTCACGGCCGGCGTGTTGATCGCGCCGAACCTGGCCAAGGTAGCAATGTAGGCCGAACCGCCTGCCGAGGCCACGTCGCGAAAGAAGTCGGCGACTGTCGCGGAGGGTCCCAACGATGCGGCTTGTTGGTGCATGACCGGCGCCCTGAGTCGGGGGAGGTGGGGGTTAGTGCTAGTCGGCGTCTCGAGCCAGAGCAGAAAAGGCTGCGGCGGAAGCAGAAAAGGCAGCAGCGACGACCGAAACGAACGAAGAGAGAGAGAGAGAGGCCGACAGCGACGGCAGGCGCGACGGGCGAGGCATCAGGTGCACGGCGCTCTTTTTGTCGGGTGCGTCGGGCTCCGCAAAAGGGCACCGTGCGGCGTAACCGCCGAGATTAAGCAACTCTGGCAACGACGAAGTCGTCGAAAAGTAAGTAGTACAGGGCGGCGGTGGGCTCTGATCCTGCCCCCGCCGCCGTCGACTGCCTCAGCGGTGCCGACCCGATGGCCGAAGCCGGGTGACAGGGGCACCCGCTGGCGTCGTAGAAAATCAATCCTGTGCGCCGACCATGCCGTGGCATGCGGCGCACTCGTGACCGATATGGTCACGGCCGTTGCCCTCCAGGACGGGACGTAGACAGCGGCCTAGGCCCGGCTGGTCTACGTCGTAAAGGTCGTCGAAGTGGGGGCAATGCGGCGACGTGCAAGGGTGCGAGCACCAACCAAGCACACGTCGGCCGGCCTCCTGGCTTTGCCAAGGGATCCGGGCGCCGCGTGTGTTGGCGGGTAGCGTCGAGCAGAACCAGTATGCACAGTAAGTGGGCGCCGAGATCGGCGGGGGTTTCGGCTTGTGCCCGTCGATGCCCTGCCTGTCCATGTTCTCCTCGGCGATCACGTCGTTCAACGTCGCCTTGAGCAAGTGCTTGACTGACTTCGGCGGGTCATTGACGGCGCGGGCGCCTCGGCGGTGCATAGCCCGCTTGTGCTGCCGATAGTCGTCGGTCATGTTGACCTCTATCTGGCGGATCCTCTCGTCGCTCAGGTGCTCGCGAAACCCCGACGCCGTCTTGGACCTGGATCTTGCCCCCGTCGGTGTCGTCGTCCTGGGTGTGGTCGAAGGCCCGGCGTCCGTCGAGGAACCGGCGGGCTGGTCTGCTGGCCTTGCGCCCGGCGGGAACATCCAATCCGGGCGCTCTGCCGCCACCGCGGGGGGTCGGCGCTCTCGTGGTGGCTGCCCTCGGGCTCGGCGGTGTGGACTGCCATGGCGTAGAAGCCGCCGAGAGGGGCGGGAAGCTGGACCTGGACGGGGGTGCGTCGATCACTGGAGGAGGCGGCGGCGGGTCCATGGTCGGCCGCTCGCCTCGGTGCGTCGATCTCCCTCTGGCTGCCGATGCCTGGCTCCCGGCCGTCGAGTGGGCGTCGTCCTCCTGTCGGGGGCCCACCTGCCGGCGTGGCCGTGCCAGAGGGCAGCGCCGACTGGGCTTCCATTGCGGCGAGACCCGGGAACCCCGTGATGGTCGGCGACGCCGTGGTCTCGGGCTCCCTCGCCTCCGTCGGGTCCAAGAAGGCCGCCGCAGTCCTGGTAGTAGACGTCGTGGGAGCGTCGAGGAAGACCGTGCCCGACACCTGGTCGTCGTCCCTTGCCGCCGTGGGCTGCGGCGGCTGCCAATGCACCTGGTGTGCCCACGCCGTGGGCGGCGCCCCGACGTTCTGCTGCAGGATGGTCGCCGCCGAGGAGCTCCCAAAACCCGTCGGTGGAGGCGGCGTAGTTGATGCCATCGTCGATGTCCTGGGGCCCGTCGATCTGGGCGTCATAGATCCATGTCCCGGCGTGGCAGAGGTGGTCGGCGGCGGCCTTGGAGCTGCTTTCACAATCACCGGCGTCCCCTCCGTCGTGGCCCGTTGCGGGAACAACCTCGTCGGTCGGCGGGGAAGTCGGTGGGACCACGGCCGTCACGGCGAGGAGCTCGGCGAGGGAGGTCCGGTCCTCCATGTTCAAGCTCGCCGCCAGCTCTGCCCAAGCGCCGAAGCCACCGTCGCGTCCCTTCCGGAGAACATTGCGAAGCTCTCTTACGGCGACATGGACTCCGGCGTCGGGCACCACCGTCGGCTGCGGCTGCTGCGGCGGAGCCTTGCGCGGCATAGGCTGTGCCGTCGAGGAGGCCGTACCGGGAGTCGTCGACATGGCGTCGAAAGACTAGGATCAGAAAACTAAACTGAAAAAGCTTCGTCGAGCCAGAGTGCTGCCGACGTTCGTCGTTTACGGTTGTTACTGCACACACACGTGTGTTTCACGACAAGGTCCCAAGGCCTTAACTGGTTTAACCCCGCTGGCCCAGGAAGTCCTCCTGGAAGTTGTATTGTCCAGAGGTGCAAGGGCCGGCTCCGCTGAATCCACCAGAGGTCCCAGGGCCGCCACCGGCCTGCAGCAGTTCTAGGCTTTAGGATTTGTAGGTAGGGGACCGATTCGCGCACTGGAAATACCGGTGACAATTCTGACAGTGCATTGGACTTGAACTTGTTGCACCACAAAGTCATTGGCTTCACATAACAGAGGCTCCCTTTCGCAACGACATCGAGATTTCTAAGCTTGGTCATTTGCAGTGAAGCGGCAGATATCCAAGGGTTGGAGCCGCCGAAGTTCTGGCTGCAGAAGTCCTGATCCGAAGCCTCGGCTCAGGCACCTGCTACGTCTTAGCAAGTGATTGGCACATCCGACTGCATCCGAAAGGCATACTGGCTGAAGTCCCCAGTCCATTCAGTGCTCGAAGTGCATGTGCATCCTTTTTGCCAGACCGTCGTACCGCTTAACGGGCCTTCTTTTGGATACTTGTGTGCCAGGTTCTAGCGTTGCCTGCGTCGGAGGGCGAGGTGACAACTGAAGTCTCCGATGTCGTGGAGGTCGCGGCAGATGGTGATGTGGAGTCAGTCGGAATCGGCACTATTCCCAAGCCGAGGCAACCTCCGGTTTGGGTTTGCAACCGCATAAGCCAACTACACCATGAGGCACTCCGCGGGAGTTCGCAGCCTGGCGTGTTCGCGTCGCAGGAGCTGTAGGTCGCTATGGCGGGTCCAACGAGGTACTGCTCCTCTGGGCCCTGACCGTTGTATACCTGTGAGTCCGACACGACTGCGGCTTTAGACTGCAGTTCCCCAGACACAGGATGCAGTCCTAATGCAATCCAGATCATTCCCGAGCCTTGCGGTATCCTTCAGCACCTTGTGGCAGATGCTCAATGCCCGAGATCGGCGTCACTGGTGAAGGCAGCACAGGTTGAGCGCTGCTGGTGATCTGGCAAAAAGCTGACACAAGTACGGTCGGGCGGTGAAATCACTACCGCCAGAGGCAGGAGTGGAGTCCTTGATGTCCGCACACTGGACATAGAATTCGATATTGACCACCTGCACTTTATCACGAACGAGGAAGACGAAGACCTCTCGGGGCCCGGCCCTTTGCCTGCTGATGCCCGGTCCACTCCCAGCGCAGCACGCAGTGCTCGCAGGCCGGCAGTTCTGCGGGAAGGAGAACCGAAGTGCTCACAGAGGACGGGATGTTTAGACCTGAGCCGAAGGCAAAGTCGCTTTGACATGGAGCCAGAAGGGCACCGGGAAGACTGAGATTCTGTCCATCCGGTGCACCACAGCCCGGGATTGCAGCAATTTTGAAGAAGTTGACCTCAGTGATGGGATCGGCCGAGATGCCGACCGAGATGGTCACAGTGAATCCATGCAGGATAGCCAGGGTGCCACATTGCTGGGATCGGGATCGTAGCCTTAACCGACAGTCGCTGACAGTCTCAGGCTCTAATGGAACCGAACAACCAAAGACAGGCCAGGAACTGATATAGAAGTAGCAGTCGCCAGGGTGTCCTGCCTCCATGGTCCAAGTCACATCCTCAGCACCCACCGGCCCACCGTGCACCGTGGGCATAGGTTCATTTTGCTGTCCGTCGGCCGCGGACCACAGCACCGGGCCAGGCCGCAGGCCGCGGGCTCTGCGGACAAAACCCTAAAACGAGACGTTGTTTGACACACACACGCCTAAACCGAAAATCCGAAAAAGATATGTTCATTGCGAAACCCTACAATTAAGGGAAGATGCTGCTTGCTATGTTCTTCAAAACCTTTACTAACAGGAGATGTTGGTTGCCGCACCCAAACCCTGAAAGGAGATGTTGCATGGGAAACCCATACCGCTGAAAAGAAGATGTTGCTTGAAAGAGAGACGTTGCTTGCAAAACCCCAAACCTTGAAACACGATGTTGGTTAAGAAACCCAAGACCCTGCAGAAAGCTGAAAGGAGAGAACGCCGAAGTGTCCGGGTAACTACAAGTTCTTCGTGGTGGGCTCTGATGCTTGGAATGGAAGGATCTGCGGCCGTGCATCAAAGGAGGACCCAGCTTGCAGAGTGGTCTTCGGTCCGTCTGAGTCTGGGTTGAAGTCGTGACATCGCATGCCTGAGCACTGCATCAAACGGGGCCTATCGTGAGTTGCAAACACTGTGCTTGAGCCCATCAGCGTGCAGCCTGGGTTCTCGTGGACGAATAACCGCCCCGGTTGCCATCAAGCGTGTAGACCGGGGCTCTTTGTTCGTGGCTCTCCTGGAACCAAAGTGCAGGGAAGAAAGAGGAATGCCTTAGGACCTAAACCTCGCTGAGACGACGAGCACTACGAGTCGAGTCACCCGGCGGCCCAGCGAATCCCCTCGGACCAGAGGCACCTGAGGCAACAAACAACCAGCAGCGGACTTCTCAGAGAGCGAGTCAGACTATTCATGCAGGGAAACATCGGATCATCCGTAGCAGTGAAGCCCTCAGCTTTTTTAGGCCTAAAGCACAGTCAACTGGCCATGCCCCGCTGCGAGTGTCAAAGCCTTGGCATTCAGGGAAGCTGCTAGAATGGGACTGTTCATGACACGCGACTTTTGAACCTGCACACCCACTGTTGTAGCTCTGGCTGCTGCCGGGCTGCACCGAAACTCACCAGCGTGCGGAAGGAACGCATCAGAGTCCAGCAGCGTGCTATCAAGGTACACTTGAGCAAGGGCGCTACTTGAAGAGGAACCGCGAAGGATCAAGATGTGAAACGTGGTTTGCCGAATGCCGACAGTTGGCTCCATGCTGACTCCATGGCAAGGCTGGTGCCTCGTCCGTGATAGGACGACACCCGCCGAAGTCTGTTAGCTTCGCATGATTCGAGGAAGTGACCTCAATGGTCATAAAAGCTCGGAAAGCATGCTGATGGAACATACGAGTCGACCGATGCTGTATGCACAACAAGCACGCTGCGACTACGTTCTCTGGCTTCAGATCACCGTACATGAAACCTTCGCAGGCTGAGCAGAAGTCACCCAGACTGTCTTGCGAATTGTCTTGCATGGCCGCCTATATCGTGTATCGCACACAGCGCTGCGACCACCTCTCCCACAAGGAAGCGGACCACGTCCTGCAGATGACAACCGGAAGGCATGCAAGGAATCCTCACCTTGCCCGGGCATACGAGGTCCAGCAAGCCCGGGATGTAGAGAATTCTAGTGACAACCATGCCGTCCTCTTCAAGCTTCCCAGCACCAACCAGAATGTTGTGCAGATCACCCTTGTGGGCATACCTGCGATACACTTCTGATACCAGAACCAAGCCGTATGGAAAAACAGAACTAACAGTGGATCAGGGGCACTCCAACACTAAGTAGGCACCATCGCGGTAACGGAAGGCAGCAACCATCCGCGCGATTCCCTAGGCAGTGGTTTCCGAGCACAAGATTCTGCCCTTGCTGAGGATTTCGTCTTCGTTCGAGCTTTGGAATGTGTCACGTGCAGTGCATTCAGCAGCTGCACAGGACAGGCCGCCCACCGGGTGACTCAGCATCTTCAGCACGCAAATCTCGCGGTTTACGGATGCCTACGGCAGCGACATGTCACAAGAATCACAAACAGCCTTCACAAGCTAGGCTACGCAGACGCGCCTCATACCCGAGCTCCTCCATGGTCTTTGTGTTTATGACCTGCAAGCTCCAGAACCGATGTCAGCAGAGAGTTGAGGCCAACCCCTCCAAGCCACCGCCTTGACGGCGTACTCTGGCCACTGGGACTGAGTCTTCTCCTGACCCCATTGTCAATGGACATAAGAACGCAGAGATTTGGTACTTCCATGTCACTTCTACTTGAGACACACACACACACACACATGTACACACACTCACCCACTCACTCGGCTGCTTTCAGCTGTTCTCTTTTCGAGCAGGGCTTGCACATGGCTCACGAGAATGCACTGCCCCCAAACCGAGATCAGCTGCGTTAGTGCATGGATGGATGCATGTGTAAGTCAACGTGTATGAGCATGTGCATGTGTATGTATGTGCAAGTGTACATATGCACATAAATACATGTTGCATATGAATACATGCATGTGTACGCATAAGTATATATGTCTTCATGTATCTATGCGTGCATACACATGCATATATATATATATGCATGTGTGCATGTGTACACACACATATGCGGATGCATGCAAACAAGTGAGTGGATTGTTTCTGTCTGTGCGCGTGCACAAATATGTGTGCGCCAAAAAGTACGCCTGCGTGCATGCGTATGTGTGCATGTGTGCACACTAGATAGAAGAGAATAGATGCAGATAAAGATACAGATGAAAACTGCAGCTAATAATATAGCTAAAGATACAGATAGAGATAGAGGATATAGCAACGACAAAGACGTACAGAGGCAGCTATAGAGACGGATGGAGGTACAGAGACAGATTTTGATAGGGAGACAGATTTAGACAAAGACACACGTATAGATAGAGATCGAGATAGATACAGATAGAGATATAGATAAAGACAGATATCTCTATATATATATATATACATAGACATGTACAGATATAGAAACTACAGACATAGTGGTGATATAAATGCAGATGGAAATACAGATAGAGGTACAGATAAGATATGCGTAGATATACACGAATACGTAACATAGATAGACAGAAAGACAGGCAGACAAAAAGACAGATAGATAGACAGATACGGATACAGATATAGATATTGCTATAGACATAGATGCAGAGATAGATATAGATATAGATAGAGGTATAGACACAGATAATGGACATAGGTATAGATATATACACGCATGAACATACAAACCTACGTCTAGTTGTCGTGTACATACGATGCATGCATGCATGATTGTGCGTGCATGCATGAATGAATGGATGGATGGATGGAGGGATGGATAAGCGCAAATGCGTAGGTGATGCATATGTAAGGTATTAACTACATGTGTATGTAATGTATGTATGTGTGTATACAAGTACGTACATGTGTCCCTGTGTGTGTGTGTGTATTCTGTATGCATGTATGTCGATAGATAGGTAGGTAGGCACGCAGGCAGATAGGTAGGTAGGTATGAAGGTATGTATGCAGGGATGTTTGTCGGCATGTAAATATGTATGTATGTATGTATGTCTGTGTGTATGTATGCACATACTATGGTGTAAATGCATGCGCACCAGGACTGTGCTGCGCATAATGTGCCACTGTGCGCATGCATGTGCGCGTTACGCTGCCTCCTGCAACTCCTTTTGTTTTTGCGCGTGCACGGGTCTTCGAGCATCTCGCAGATGCACGCCCCTCAAGCCGGAATGCAAAAATTAAGCTAACACACGCCCATGGAATACAACAACGTAAACTTCGGCTCTAAACTTTTGGAGACCTGAAAGGGATTCGCGACTTGGAGTCGTCCCAACTCTGAGGCAGTTGCAAGAGGACATTGGGTTTGAAATGAAGGTACTCTATACTGCAGGAGGGACATCAATTGCAAACAACCCCGAACACGACGACAGCGACGTTAGCCATCATCATAGCCATGTCTAAAGCCGTCGCAATACACCGTCAAACTGAATTTCCATGACCTTTGACTTTGAGCTGGCCTGCTGAATAGCGCGTGCGTATCGCACCACGCTGAAAGCTCCCTGACCTCGGTGGATGCCCTGAAGAAGGGCTGAGCCTAGGGTGACCCTAAACCCCAAACTCTCAACATCCTAAACCCCTAACCCTGGGCATTCTGGCCCCGCTGAGGGCCTTGCCTATGTCTTCTGCACCGTACACCAGGTTGTGGAATCTTGGAAGAGCCACAACTCTTCTGTCAACTCAAACTATTCTCGAGGGTCACACATGGCGAATGACTGGCACACGTATGTATGATATGTTGTATAGATATACATATAATATATATATATATATATATATATGTATATATATATGTATATATATATGTATGTGTATACATGTATTTGTGTATGTGCATCTGTATGTAAGCATATATGTTTATATGTATATGTAGAGGTGCATGTTCATGTATATGTACATGTATATGTACATGCCTTTGTATATGCATATGTATATGCATATGCGTCATATGCGTATAAATGTAGATATATATATATATATATGTACATATGTATATACGAATAAATACTTTTATATGTATGTATGTATATAGGCATGTCTATATGTTTACATGCATGTTGGTATCGCTACTGCATGGGCAAGTATTGCTATTGTTCACAGAGTTTCTACGTATTGGTGCTTCGGAGCTTCGGGCGAGGTCTCTGGGACGAGAGATCCCCCCGCCGGGATGGGTGGCACCAGGTGAGTTGGCGAACGTCACAAGCCAAAAAACGAGGTCACGGAAGCAAAAGCCGGGACTGTCGCTTCAGCGTAGGCAGGAGAGTCGGAGCTTCCTCCATCAATGCTGCCTGGCAGGCATCACGGCCAATCCGATGTGGGTTCTCTTCTTCGCATATTCTGGTGCATGATAGTGTGTGGCCTCCCAACTAGTGGGACCTTCGGTGGGTGCTGCAGGCAGCAGGAGCTTCATGTACCTGGGCTACGGCAAAGGTGTGCTGCGCGAGTTGTACGGCAGCAGGATAAGGGAGCTAAGGCCAGGGCTTGTGCACTCGATCCAAACCAGATACCGGCTTCTGCTCTTCATCCTCCTAGAAGGACTGCATAGCTGCATCACAATGCATCGCAGGCATAGCATAGATTCATCGACGCACCAACGATCCCGCTACAAAAAAGCGTTGGGGCCTCGGGAGTCTCCTCCAAACTGTTCAGCTTTGGTGGCGGCGGGGGCGGTGCTGCGTCCTTCTCAGAGCGGCTTGCAGACGGACCACGGACGACGCGATGCACCGGAAGCCGGAAGCGATGCCTTTTTGAAAGCCCAGGGGGCCACCCCTGTGACGGTCACAGGAGGCTGCTTGGAGCCACCGGCCTCGATGCGACAAGCGACCGGATGTGAGAAACTCAGCGGAAAAGTTGCGAAACGCCCTGAGAGCCTGGCACCTCCCTTGAAGGCCCAGGGTGCAACACCTAGCATGCCAGCATTGCCAGCTTCAGCTTGCAGAAGCAAGTGTGCAGCACCAGTAGATGTCTGGCTGTGACTGACCAAAACGTGTTGGGGAGACGGCTCTGTAGAACGCCGTGTCACGTGAACATTGGGGGTTCGGTTGAAGAGTGAGGACAGATGTCGAAACAGCTTGGAGTCCTGAAGCCTTTCCACTGACAAACACGCTAAGACGCTGTATGAATGATATCCTCGAAGATGACCCCTTTGGCCGGTCAGGGTGGGGCGCGGCGAGTTCCGCTTGCCAGGGCCTTGCCCCTTCGAGTCTCTACCAACACTACGGCTACGGCTCCCCGGCTTCCAAACGTTTGGCGTTGAATTGAAAATCATGGCTTCGACCAGCACAGGCTTTCCACGTGCCCATGTTTCTGCTCCTGCTCGAGCTCCCGACCAGTTGTTGTCAGCGGTGGCTGCTTGCCGCCTGTAAGACGCAGGCGGCAGCTGGAGCGGGCAACTGCAACCTTCGTGAAGACAGCCTCCGCCTCCACCTGACTGTCCCGGCTTCCAGTCACCAGCACGAAACCTGCGCAGCACACGACAGAACACGAATGTGAGAGTCAACGGCAACCTACAACTCGAAGGCTCTGAGCTGCTTGCAGAGCTGCGTAGCTCGCAGCTTGGTATCTCTGAAACCTAAATCTTGCCCTTTGGTCCCAGCCTGAGCGAAGTGATGTCGGGGGGTAGCGGAGTTGGCCCTTGGCACAACCATGCAGCGACTGTCCGCCCTCGAGGCTCAGAGGACTGAGCTCAGGACGCTTTGTCTCCTCAGGTTCCGGTTCAGGGGGTGGCGCAGGCGCCTTCACCACCTGTCATGGCAAGATCGGGCATCCAGGAGGCTGCAAGAAGCGCTAGTACAAAAATGCAGACCGTCTATGTAAGCTGTTTTTTGCTGTCGCTCCGTAGGTCGTGATTGCAAGTCACCACATGATGGGAGGCCAACAGCAAGGTTCCAAAGAAGTCCAAAACTCCCTGGCCGGCATAGTCGAAACTGCGTGCGTGTACGGATGGACGTGTGTCGTATGTGTGTATATACGCAGTCATACATCTATCTTGTGCCCATACATCCCTACCTACCTGCCGACTCTACCTACCCACCGACCTGACGTCCTGACGACCCATCGACCGGCCGACCAAACGACCTACCTGCCTACCTACACACATGCATTGCATGCATGCATGCATGCACAAGCTCATGCGTCCGTCCATGCGCATGTCGCGCATTCAGGTGTGTGCCTCAAACGCTGGTATCTGCTTCCCGGGGCCCCAGAGCTCTTCGGCATGCAGTTCGAAGACCTGCGTGCAGCAGTGTCGGAGCACAGAGTCTGCTGCAAGCAACGACGGCCTTCGCTTAACCAGAGCTTGGAATAATTTCCACGTGTCGACGATTTCTGTGGCATCGAATGCCAAGATGTCCGGCTTCCCTTTTCCACTCAGCATGCGCTGCCCACCACGGGTGTGGGTGGCACATCAATCGCCGGCCAATCTTCGGGCACGGCCTTGCAGTGGTCACTACATGCTCCTCTAAGTAGCAATCCTCTACACGCTCCAACTCCAGCCGCGTCAACGCTGCAAAGGTAGACGAGCCTTGACGGCTGGCAGCAGCGCCCCGTATCCCAAAAGCTCTGCCCGGGTCTGGACCTTAAGGAAGCTCCCCAGCACAGAAAGGCAATCATACGAATACTCCTGCTTTTGTGTGAGCCATGGCGATTCCATGCAAAACGTTCGAGACGGTGACTGCAACGACCACGCGGGCGAGCCTGGATCTGGAATGCAATTGGCAATACTCGACTGACTCGGTTGCATGTTGCCCTTCTTTCCGAACTAGGCTCCAAACATCCGAGGGCCAAAGACCTGAAGGCTTGCAACCAAACGCAACGAGCAGGATTCCAGCTCCAAACCCCGACCTCCTCGGGGTTTCTGCCATGCTGGCCCTTTGTCTGGTATTGCACCTCGAAATATGTGCTATCATCTGAATCTACGCCTATTCTCCAGCTACCGGCTTTGGCCTCTGCCACTTGATGGACCCGCTCCTGCAAGTGCCATCCGGCTAACCGGTGAACCGGTCGTCCATGGAAAAAGAATTGCTACCGGATGCGGTGCCAGATAACAGCAACGCTGCCCTGGCAAACCTTACAGCCAGCCCCGGGCTGAAATGGAACGCTTCAGGCGGTCGTTTCTGGAGCTTCCGATGAACGCAAACCCTTTGACGTAAATCCTCTCCTCCGCTCCCTGCCCCCAGAGGTGACCGAATCCCAGCGCATGCAGGAGATTTCGCCTGCAAGCAGTTCAGCGGTGTTGGGTCAGTGAAGGCATTGCTTGGCACCGGGCGTCTCTGCGACAGGGTCGGATGAGAAGTCCTCTCAGAAAACGCCAGATTGAAAGTAAGGACCGTAATGGAAAGCCTTCGAACCTTATCTGAAAAGCTGCAAAGAAGGCACGAAGCAAACACCCACTTGCTCAACCCTTGCTCTTCCTCGTAACGCACCAGGACGAAGTCCTGCATGCTCAGCCGATGCATTCGCAGCCCCACGTGTTGAGAGCCCTGGTCGGGGATTTCAATGATCGAATTTCCTCGACGTTCCTTTGTACATAGCACCAAAAGTATTCGTGTGTCTTGCGGTTGCCTCGACCCTGAAGAAGCCTCTTGACCCGGATGATTCAGGGGGTTGGAGACCAGGTCGCCACCTTCGTGTGCTCAGGCCAACTTTCGATTTGTCGAGTTTTTCTCAACCGGGGATTTAGGGCGCCCAAGCTTTGAAAAGCACAAACGAAAATTTGGAAAACAATAGCTGTTCAGAAGACCTGCAAGAAAGCTCAGAAAAGGCATTAAAGATGTGGGGGGAGAGGTGCCGGGGGGCGGGGGGGGGGGAGTCTGGGGGAATGTAGTTCCAAGTTCCAACACATGCCTGGTCTCTGAAGTCAGCGGTCCCGGGGGCACTGAAGGTACTCGTCGACTACCAGAACCCATCGCTGCACGACCGCATCGACATACCCACTGTACCTACGAACAAGGAGAGAGCAAAAGCGTGCCGGTTGCCAGGGACTACTGAAAAGCAGGCTGTTTCGTGACGTGATGCCGTGCGCATGCGCACGTTGATTTGTGAAGATACACCCCTGCTTGCATGTATACGTTGGGCTGCGCATTCACCTATGATCTATCTGTCGATCTATCAGTTATCTGTCTAGCTATCTCTCTGTCCATCCGTCTGTCCGTCTATCAGTCTATCTGTCTATCTGTCTATCTGTCTATCTATCTCTGCGTGCGTGCCGGGTGTCTGCTTCTCCGTGTGACTTTGCTCTTCATGATCTTTCATGTACTCTTGCGTCGATGCTTTATATACACATAGTTGTCCTCCATACCACATTTATGCATTTATGTGTACACATATATATATATATATACATGCATACATACACACACATACACACAGAGTGTCAGAGCCTATGGAATGCATGACAGCCCGCATTCAGGCACCTCAAGCCGCTCAGCGCAACGTCCAGGTACTGCTGCTTGCCGTGGCTGAAGTGTTTTGGCAAGCGCCCTGGGACCTGAAGTAATCAACTCCACGCATGCTACTTGTACCACAGTACTGGTCACGAGTTCAGGATACTTTTTGAAATGCTGGACTAATGCCCCACAAAACAGAGCAGGTTCTCATATGTTGTGCTGAGATGGGAAGTTGAAAAAACTGGCAATCGAGCTTCTTTGTTTGCAAGCTGCTTCAGTTGGCACTGTCGCAGTACCCTCTTTCTGATTCCGTGGTAAGTTGTGTCGATCCAGAATAGCGAGAACGGACACGTTGCATCTGCACTCCATGTCTTTTGAGGCGACCGTTCTTAGGGCACACCCCGTCGATGGAGGGAAGTTCGCACCAAGAGCACGCTGACGAAGCGGATGCGTCCATTAGCCCACTAGCCACTGTCCCGGTTGGTGACGCAGTCCTGGTGACTAAACCCTAAACCCTTAAACCCTAAACTCTAAACCTTAAACCGCCATGGGGGTGGTAGCACCCACGTTGGGCCCCGGTATCGGAGCCCGCTTTTTCGTGCTGCCTGAGCCTTCTCCCTCATTGACTCTGGAATTTCAAAATTACAGTGAACACGCACGTGTAAGGCATCAGAAGGCTCAAATGACACAAGTGCCAAGCCCAAGAGAAGATCTGCTCCTCCTCCGAAGTCACAAAGGTGTCCAGGCCTGGGAATCTGAAGCTACGAGTACGGACCTTGATGCCGTCTGTCAGAGAGTCGGACTCATGTGGCTCAGCAGGGAGCTGGCAAAGTCAAAAGGGTTCCGCACCTGAGAGCTAGACCAGGCAGATCCGCCTACCTTCATCTTACGTCTTACGTGTGCATGCCTCGGGTCGACACGCAGCTCGTCTGGGCAGCATCCGAAAGCATTTTGGCCCGCCGTCGAGGTCGCACTGTACAACTCGACTCGCCGGACACGCAGCACAAAGCGCTCTGCCCTTCGTGGCGCTCCTTTGGCAGCCTTGGCACTGTTGGCCTTTAAAGACCCCACCACCCGCCCCATCAAAACGACCCTCCACCCGCATCCTCAAGATCCATCAGGCAAGCTTCCCTCATCAACATGCTGCACAGGCAGGCAGCTTGCTCGAATCCTTCATGTGGCGTGGCTGCTATGTGCGCAAGTAGGCCACCAGATACTCAGGATATATCCTGGAGCCATGGAAGACCATGAACTCGCGGTACCGAGCCTTTGCTGGTCCATGTTCAGCTGGCGGTCAATTCATTTATGCTGGAACGCCTGAAGTCTGAGCATTGACTAATAGTCCTTGCGCCAAGCTGCTATGACTCCACCGGTCTCTGCAACAAGACTGTGGTGAAGTACCGGCGGGCTTGAACTCGGTATGGCTGCGAGCTCGCCTAGGATCAGTCGGTTCTTTGTACCTGACTGGCTACTTTACGACTGATCTTGGGGGGCCTTGCAGGACGAGCTTCGCTTCTCAGATGACCAGATGCTGCGACCTTTGTTGTCCACATCAGACCTGCCGTCTCTCCTCGGGTTCAGGGAGCAATGTGGAGCAAGATGCAAGATATAGCACCAACTGGAGGCGCTTGTAAGCAGTCAGCCTTCCTTGATTTCGACCAAAAACGTCCCACCACAAGGAGCCCAGGCTCCCTGCTCCAATCGATTGAGCGTTTCAGATTTTCGGGTCTGTGATAACTGCTTAGAGTGTAGAGAGTTGGTCGCAAACAAGCGTCGTGCGGATGCTGTAACCCAGCAGAGTTCGACACACGAACATGTAGAAGACATCACCTGCTAGCCACGCACGTCTTGTGCTTTCACCTGATGCCGGAGGACAGGCAGACCAACATCTTGGCCTGGATGGCTGATTCCAGAATCGTCGTAAAGCAGCTTCTCCAACTCCGGGTGCTGCCCAGGAAAATGAGCCCTTCACGACACAGGAGCACAAGAAAGCACAGAGGCCCTGATCGTCATGCTGAAGCCGTGCCTGCAGTACTGATCATTCTTGCCAATGTCCTGCAACACCATCTCCGAGCACTAGGGTAGACAGGAATCTTGTCATGGTATGTCGCAGAACCCTCCATAACCAGAACCGAAGAATCGATAGCAGTAGTCACGAACACCCAGGGATAAGCAAACGAGTCACACTAAGTTCGGCAACAGGGCAGCAGTCTTTCCTCAGCCAGGTATGTTCCGTTGCCGAAGAGGCCACCGCTGAAGCGCTCATTCAGGCCACCACTCAAGATAGGGAGCACGCCTTGGATTCCACACACTATCCCAGACGACATATAATGTACATGTATGTGTAATGTGTATAATATGCATTATGTAAATACGAACAAACTCTATACATGTGTGTGTGTATATATATATATATATATATATATATATATGGTACCCCCCCCTCGAGAACTACCGATCCTCATTTCGTATCATAAATACCGTGTTAAACCGGCTTTTCCGGCAGGTCCGAATTCCGCATCTCTCAACGCCTGCTGAAGCCAAGCACACACACATATATATATATATATATATATATATACATATTCTGTACATACATTTATATGTATATGTATATATATATATATATATATGCATATGTATACACGTGAACGAATCTCCATTCAAGCTGCTGTCTGGCACCGTGCCATGGGAGAGGAAGACCTGACTCGTTCACTCACGGAGATTCCGTCAGAACAGCAGGCGGCTTGTTTCGGACACCTTCCTCTGTTTCTGCGACCACATCGTCTTCTGCACTTCCGCGGAAGGCCCTCTGAATTGCGGCTAATGGGTTGCCGTCGGACCCGATTATTTTGCGGCGACCCCATAAGTCAGCAAAAGTCTGTCAGAAACATATGCACAAGATTGCCGAGGATTAAAGGTTCGGCTCAGTAATATCGAACCTGCAGACATTGCAAGTCGTGGCGTTTTGAGTTCTCAGGTATTGCTTTGACTCGCCGATATGATCTAGCGTGCTCGATGGAGAGAGCAATCGGTGGGCTCGGGATCCCGATGCGAACAGTGTTTGCCTTTGTGAGTCCTCGTACTCGCCCGCATGAACTTCAACCGATTTTTTACTAGGCTATGCAACTGCCAGCTTTGACATCAGTTCTGTCACAAGACAGAGGACATATCTCTGCTAGGTATGACAAAAACTACTGTTGATGAACAAAAACTACAGTTGATGATGCAAATCGTGCAGGAGTTTGAGTCCGTGCAACATGTACCATCCAATCGGCTGTGTCCCCGTACCCCTAATCTCAATGTTGATGTCAGAGGAGAGGCCATGCAGGATTGCTATCGTTCGCGCGGTCCTATCAACGCACTTGCCCCTTCGACAACATAAAATTCAGGGGAGCGGCCTGCATCTTACAAATTCATGCAGGATGTATATCATTTACCATATCAAGGGAGGTCCTTCCGCAGAAATCATCAGACATATGAGTTTCAGAGTGTCCTTTCTGTAAAAGGCCCGTGAACAACTACATCTCATCTGATTCTAAGACATCCTGATCCCTAAACCCCTAATCGAAGCCCGAAAAACCTCGTTGACATCGGTAAAGAGCTCGGCCGGAAGCTTCTCGGCCATCTCCACCTCTCTGACATCGACTGGGGTCGGGCCAGCCGAGATTCGGGGTTTGGATTTCTGTCTTACAATCAAGATGGGACACATACTGACGGCGCAGCTGCACTGATGGCACGGCCGACGAAATCGACTTCATGTCAATCCTGCGTCAGAGCACGTGGTCCCCATACCCCGTCTTCAGTCACACGCAAGCAACTGTAAAGAGGTTTCCCATAGTGTCTCAGACCAGAGGCTTCCTTCTTTGCGAAGTTTGGGCTAAAAATGTGCTCTGCTTGGATGCTGGCACGGTTCTGACGCAGATTCTCCCTCTCCATGGCATACTTGCCCCAAAGTCCTTGCGAACTGCCATTCGACCGCACGAACTGCACCAATGCACGTTATGTTCAAGACATGTTCAGAAGAATCACTGTTCAGCAGAAGCAGTGCAGGAGGCTTCGTGGATGACGTGAAGCGCTGAAATGGAGTGCGTGCGAGCTCCTCAGGGTTCCCTGTCTCGACCCCGGTACGCAACACCTACTGGGGACAACAGAACTTTGTTGCAGGAAGACCAATTCAGAATAGACAAGGCCAGCCGGCCTGCATTACTGTTCCTGAGACTGGCCTGGATGCTGGAGGCGCCACGCTCCGTGGAGTTGGAATCCTGTGGTTGGAGCGACATGAGCAAACCGCACAACCTGCCTCGGCTGTCGAAACGTCCTTGTGGCTGTTCCCTTCACAACAATATACTTCGGACTGAGCCTGGGAACAGCCCTCAGCCCACCGTCTGTGCCTTGGTGCTTGCCTGCGGTGCGCTGATCGCGCCCGCCCAGGCTCCCACCTGCAGCGGACAGCTACTGTTCTTATGATTGTTCCGACTCGGCACAAAAGAGCTCTGGCTGTTTTAATAGTTGAGCAGAAAGATCACTCAGCCCAGCCTTCGCAAAACACTTCCGGGCATCGCTACTTCCCCAAGTAGGTCTAACCGTCCTGGGTCTCCCTTTGAAGTCACGTTGCTTTAAAAGGACTTGGATCCGAGCCCATCTCACCTGGATCCATCGCTAGTCTCAGGGCTTCGATCTCTGCAGCATCAGCTGGCACAATCCGCCAAGGTGGCCCATCGCCCTCCTGAGTGGAACCATCTGAACCCTGAACTCTGAACCCCAGGATGACCTCTTTGGGCCCCGAACTTTGGAGGTCCAGTAGCACGGCGGTGCCAAGCCCACAGCGGTGCCCAGCCAAGATGTGCTGGGCCTAGCCTTCCAGTGCTGTTTCTTTGGTCTCGGAGGCAGGCTTCGAGTGCAGCCTTCGTGACACTTGGGCTTGCTGCCTATCTGTTTCTCGATTCAAACATAAGGGTGGTAGGTTTTGATGCTCGATATACAGCTATCTCAAGTACTGGCATTGAGCTTCTCACAAGAGCCAACATGTGAGCTCAATCTAGACTCCTGGAGCATCCTGAATCCAGCAACAGTCTGAATACATTGAACTCGCTGCGGCCTGCCTTTAGACATCAAAGTTAACGTAGCATCTCGACCACGGGGTACGAAACTTGACTACTTTGCGAGTGACTAGCGCCCGGATCCGAAGGGACGATTGACAGATACCTGTACGATGGCATCTAGATGTGTACATGTGATTGCCTATGCGTGTGTTGGGGCACACTAGAAAAGTTGCACATGTGTGAATGCATGCATGCATGCATGTATGTCTGTATACACACAGAGGGAGAGAGAGGGAGAGAGAGAGAGAGAGAGCGCGCGAAAGAGAGAGAGAGTGAGAGAGTGAGAGAGTGAGAGAGAGAGAGAGAGAGAGAGAAAGCGAGAGGAGAACCGGAGAGACAGCGTGACCGACAAAGACCGAGACGCAGGCTGAGAGAGACAGAAACAGAGACGCTGTACATGCAAACATGCATACCATTTCAACATGTACACATAGACCACATATGCAAATATGCACATGCACATACGTACACGTACAGACATATCCACAAACACACACATATACGCACACATGCACAAGCATACACCTACACAAATACACATACATACATGCACACACACATACACCTATGCCCACACATGCACGTGCCCAATGTGCGCGTGCGCAAGCACGTACACACACATACAGCTACAAATACATACACATATACACATAATTATAGCCATGCATGGACACATAGAGACATTTACATACACATACGCACACAAACACATACATACACATGCATACACATGCATACACATGCATACACATGCACATGTACATACATGCGTGCCTACATACACCCACACACACACACATCTACGTGCACGCAGACATACACACCCACAGATACCCACATACTTTTGTTTGCATAATACATGACAGAGACACATACACGTATGTCGACATGTACAAAGACGGAAATTTCCGTGAGATGTACCAGACAACAAGGCCTCTCCACAGCTGCGGCAGCGTTCCTCGTTGCTTCTGAGTAGTATACGTGTTCGTTTGATTAATGATGACTTGCTTACAGTATGTAACAGTATATGCCGTATTGCCCGCCGATGTACAACATTGCATGTAAATTACGCACTGCGTGTGGCACTCACGTGGGCGGTACGGACTGTGGTGAAAAGCGCGGCGAGCTACGATCCAACAACCGACTAAAGTTGTTGCGGCTTGGACTCATTCCTCGCAAACTGGTGGTCGTTGCCTGCCAAACGCCGCAAGCGGGTATTTTAGTAAGTATGTGTATATATACATATGAATATATATATATATATATATATGTGTATACATCCGTGTATAAATATATACATATATAGATACAGACATATTATATATATATATATATATATTTATTTATTTATTTATGTACACACTCTGCCGGTGAGCGAACTTCCAAGCCCTCCTCATGATTGCGACCACCGCAAAAGGATCACGAGCCCTTGTAAGGCCAACTCAACCCACTTCAACGAGAAAGTAACCTGTCAGAATCTTGGGATGAAGTGAAGCGGTCAAGCGTCACTTCGGGCATCGCCAATCGCCAGTGTGCATTTGCACAGTCGGCTTGGCTGTCACGAGGCGCTCGGCCCCACACTTGCGGCACGAGCTTCTGCTGCCAAACCTGATCTCTCTATCCAACCTCGCCCAAACGGAAATTTCACCAGACACTGAGCGGCGGACACAAGATCTCCACATCGGTGACAGGCCCAGTCTTTGCCATCCCCGGAAAAAGAGCTGGTTCCGGGCTTGCTGGCGCCACATTTCCGACAATGGCCTGGTAGTCAGGTCATGGCATGTCATGGCAATGTCGGCTGACACAGTATCATGGCTTTCAACAGAGATTATGGCAAGGTCCACTGAAAGCCGTGAAAGCCCGTCCTCGGCTGGAGAACCTGACGCAGAAATCGCTTGGAGGGTGCAGAAAAGTTTGCACCTATGCTGCACCAAATGAAGCCGCTGCCGAAGCTGGGCCAAGAGCACGAGGTCTCCACAGGTGGGACATTTCCAGTCGCCACTCTTACCGCCGGAAGGCACCTTGAAGAGCTATGTGAGCAAACGTCATGCACTGCGTGTACATCCAGATATATATATATATATACAGACAGACGTATATTTGTATGTGTGTGCGCACGACATACATACATACATACGTACATACATATGTACATGCCTACTTACTTACATAACATACACATACACATGCACATACACATACAGATACAGACACGGATGCACATACAAATACGCATAAACAAATATAGTATGTTTACGTATATTCTATATATATATATATATATATATGCATATATATATATACATGTATACACATATATATATATATATATATATATATACAAATGCACATGCACACACACACACACATATATATATATATATATATATATATACACACACGCTTATAGTTTTTGCCTTGTTAGACATCTATTTCCATTTCTATAGATTCTAGTTCTACAGCTAGTTCGATGTTTGCTGCTATTTCTCTTCATAACTCTGCTTTTACTCATATTCATGACGAGGGACATGCCCCCATGCAACCATCCGTCGTGGCGCACTCGACTAACACCGACATTTCCGCCTCGCAGGCTGTCGGAGCGGCGGCAGCAGAGCTTGCCGGCTTATTCGTGCCGCATTTGCGGCATTGGCCTCCAAGCTGTACTCGCGGTCTTCAGTGAAGCGAAAAATCCGAAGCTTGGGAGCGAACTTCGACTGGCGAACCTCACAAGGCAGAGGCAATGCACGCCAGGAGTCTGACCATGGAGATTAGCCGTAGCTAGGCTTCCGGCACAAGACCGTTGCATAGCGGGCACGTCCAGTCTCCTTTGTTCGGACAAGGCAGTCGACAACATCAAAACGGTGCGCTGACCGATATTTCGCCTGCCCTGGCGCCATCCTGAATCGGTGCCGCTGGAGCTTGAGCACCTGGACCAAGGCAGAAGGAGCAGAACTCCAGATTCATGCTGTCCTACATCGTCCAGCGAATCCTCCAGTCCAAGTCAATTCAACGACTCGACCTGAGCAGCCCCTGCTGCCAGAACTCCAAACCTCTTCGCACGGCTAGGTTCACGGTATAGAATTGACAGCATCGAAAATGGCTCAGCACGGCATCCGGCTAGTACCCAACATACCCAAGTTTTGTTCAGCGACTTTCGCTTAAAGTAGCCGCCCAAGTCGTCGAGGCATGAAAGGTTCTTCCGAGCCTGCTGCCTTCAGCTGGGCATGGCGGGATTGCGCAACTACAGTTTCGGCCAGCAAGGCAATTACGAAGAGCCATTGCTAGATCTTGGCATGAAGCCAGGCAAGCTTGAGGCAGGGAGGCCTTTATCGAGGCTCATTGTCCAAGATGCAGCTGAGACCGCCGGAGGGGACGGGGCCGCAACATTTCCCGGAGTTTTGAACCCGAGAAGAAATCCATCTTCCCTGAAAGTCTGCCTGAGCCTGCATAAGCACCAGAGCTCTTGGGCGCTCCACACCTCCGGCAGATGGCGTTCCTGTAGGCACAGCCCATATGCAGAATGCACTGACTGAGACTGCCGCACCGTAAAGCTCTCGCCTAGCAAACTGCAAATCGCCGCATTTCTGGCAGGTCCAGTCTCCAGCACGGTGCATGCTTCCGGAACGGCGGTTGAAGTGGGCAGGTTCTTAGGGGCGTGCTGCAAAACTCGGGCCAGAATCGTAGGAGCCAATCATGGAAGACATGCTATCTCATGAAATTGCAGTGACGGCCGGCGACTGGCCCAGTGCATGCTGTGCGCCTGAGTGGCCCACTACGAAGTACAGCTGAAGTCTGTGGCCATGGTGCGACAGGGCCTTGGAAGCAGCTGCAAGAAGTGAAGTGCGCGTCTTGGATGGGGCTTATTTACTTCCCGAGTGTGCACATCGTGCAGCACGCACCAATACAGCATGATTCTTTCGCATTGCAATCGGCGATGGCTACTTACTTGTCGCAATACGTGGCAAGCCTGCCAGACCTTCATCGTGCGAAAGAAAACAGAATGAATGAATCGTGCATAGAGTTTGGATTCATGCATGGATGGATGGATTGACTTAGTTATCTTCTGAATGAATGAGTAAGTAAGTAAGTCAGTGGGTGTGCCGATGTGTGAGTCGGTGAGGGAGTCGGCGTGTGAGTCAGCGAGCGAGCGAGTGAGGGAGTGAGTGGGTGGGTCAAGGGTGGATGGCAGAGGCGCGTGTACCTACGCCTGTGTGCGTGCATGTATGTACGAATGTATGTATGTATGTATGTATGTATGTATGTATGTATGCATCTACCTACCGACCTGTTTATCCAAAGACATGCATGTCAGATGACGGATGGATGTATAGTGCACACTGAAGTATGAATAAGGGCATGCAAATCTTCGGTAGCATCTTCACACTCATTTTGTACAAGTGCACCAATTTACTTATGCACCTAGACTATACCTAAGAAATAGACCAGCACTGCCACCGGAAGAGCATTGTTTCGAAACGACTGCTCACCAATACTTTCTGAAAGTGAGGTTCAATGACCAGCCCGCAAACGGCACTCCGAGCCCTGTGCGGGCCAAGCGTGGGCTAGTCGCCGAGCCACCGGAGTCAGCAAGACATCCTTGGAGATCTCCCAGCCTTCGCTACACGCAAAAGACGTGACACTGCACATCAATCCTCGCCGAGACGCTCTTGTCAACTACTTCAGCCAGTAATCCAAACATTCGCCCCTGAGGCAAGAAGCTGAACAGCTCGTCGAAGCACAGATCCAAGAGGTGCTCCAGGGGGACTTCCTTTTCTAAGCGCTCTGATCCCTCCTCACCTCTTCAATGCTGCTTTTAAACCTGGGAATGCTGGGATTCCGGCGCGGCGGACCGTGAAGTGCACGATCGGCGCCTTGTACACCGGTTTGATTCGTGCAAAGCTCCCCAAACCCACAAGGACCTCGGTCTCCGATTTTTCCTCACGTATTCCGAGGTCTGACCACAAAGACCTAAAACTCTGCCAGGATGGCCCGCTCTCATCAGTTCTTCTGACGGAGACTCCGAGCCTCAAGCCTTGAGCTCAGGCTTCATGTTGTGAAGCCTGGAACCTGGACAGATACTGGAGAGAGAGGAGGTAGGATAGTAGGAGGCTTAAAGATTCTGTGAGTTTCCGCATCTTTGTCGGAAGCAGAGCGTCTACGACGCTGCGCGTGTATGCTCACAGCCCAAGAGTTGCAAACGCTGTACACTTTATGATTTTAAAATGAGAGAAGCGGAAGCATCGCCCATGCCTGATTACAGTGTTTGTGAATCTTCAATGCAGTAGACTTGTAGACTGAACACTCGCACGGTTGAAGATGAGTCCGATTCTCGCAGCCGCTAGCATTCTTGCTGCCCTTCATCTCTCGTGTTGCGGGTCACATCATGTCCTCTAAATACAAAAAAGCATGGAAGTGCAGACACATAGCCAATCACGTCATCAATCAATAAGTCTGTCCTCTCCGGAGGCCTATTTTTGGAGGAGTCCTCAAAGGCACAACACCAGCAGCACAACGGCTTAGGTCATACCTAGCCGTAGCCCAAGCAGGAGAAAAGATGCAGAGGCCAATTCCGGCTGCGTGGCTGGCCATCTTTGCAGTCTTCGCATCCGTAAAGTCCGGCAAGGGAGGTGCGTGACCTTGGCATGTCGCGAAGACGAAGCCCCTTGCAGACGTCTCAAAGCGCCTTTGTGCCGCCCCGGTACTGTACTCTTCAAGGATGAAGAACTCCTCGCCGTCAATCTCCTGGTCCCCATTCATGTCCTGAGCCGTGCAGCCGTCTGTGCCGACGCCTGCACCTGCACCTCCCTTCTGCCCTCGAACAGGAGTTGTCAGGTCCGAGGAGCCACAAACATGAAGATCTCCGTCACGGGCCCGTCGAACTGCGTTGCCTCAACGCCTCACGCTGACAAGCTGAGAAGTCACACTCCAAGGAGTCTCAAAATCGTTTGGCACAGGAGGGTTCCGCTTTTCTCCCCGTTTGGCGCCCCACACTTTCGGAACTCTTCGAAGGAGATCGCGCCGCTCTCGTCTTGATCGATGGCTTCGAAGGCCTGGGCTCAGAGCTGAGCTTCCGAAACTTCGCTCCTGCTGAGCTCAGCCGTCGCCTTCGTCAATGAGCCGTAGAAGATCTCCAAGTCATTTTTGAGCCTCTGACTGTGGCACTGAAGGCGGCAGAAAACAAAGTGCCAGACCGGATACACTGCAATCCGCAACCACAAGGTCAAGGCTCTCATACATGGATTGTTGAAGCTCGCGCCAAACACGCTCCAGCGTCTCGAACTCCCGCCGTGAGATGTCACCATCATGTGAGGTATCCAAGTATCGGAACACGCCTCAAATATTAACCTATCCCCACAGTTTTAACGATGTACAAAGATCTGCCATGCTGCGGCTTACAGCATTGCATGCTTGCGCCAAGGCACTGGACAAGGCCTCCAACTGTCCGGTGTCCTCGCTCTCTGGCTCCCCGCCGGAGGGACTTCCGGGAAGCCCTCTTGAGCCTTAGATCAGCTTACAGCGGAAAGGACAGCCGACGTGGCAGGAGTTACAAGGCCTGGCCCCTTTTTTGCTCCAAGGAGCCCAGGGCCACTGACGTCAGGGTCCGCACCTTGGGCCTGGGCTCTTGAAAAGCGCCCGTCGGCCCTCCCGTCAAAAAAACCAGGCGGCGGATGCGCCTGCGCGTGCGGCAACAGCCGGCTTTCGCCAGGCCATCCACAAACTCCTGCCGTCTCCCTCTCCCTATGACAAGAAAGCAAAGATACCCCCCCACTCCTTGTGGTTCAGCATGTTGTCCGGCTGCGTGTTTAGGGCAGTAAAAGCTGCATCAGTGCTTTTCCAGTTGCGGATCATGAACACCACTACCTGGCCCAAGATGAATCGGTCGAGCACCCAAACCGTATGCCTCTTAACTCCACATGCACTGCAAGACTGAAAGCACTGAGCAACCTTGAGGACCTCTGGCGGTACATCCTCCAGGCACGACCTGGGTTGGCACAAGAGCTGGTAGCTCCCGGGCTTGACTTCAGTTCTTCAAAAAAGGGTCCCTGGAGCGGCATTCTTCGACTGTTCTAGAAACTCCCGGTCACGAGAAGTACTCCGAAGCCTTCAAGCCCTAAACCCTATCTCCGTTGACCCTACAGCGCATGCTCAGTCGCCAGAAGTCGAAGGCCGTGTCCGGCAGGTGTGCCCAGCCCCCGATCGTTGCTGCAAGCCGCCTTCGGACCTGCACCGTAAAATTTGAGTACTGTCTATCCACATCCTGTTTTACGTTGACTTGCTTGCCGAGTCTCGATGGTCAGCAGAATCTCAACGGTTTCATGGTACAGACCATGTTTGTGAGCATTGGTTAGCAAGGCGTGAATCAAACGCATCTCTGACTGCACTTGTCGACCAAGCCTTGAGATTTTGGCGGTCCACCGCACAGTTGTAGGTGCCTGAAACGCGCGATCTTCAGAGGGTGAAGACGTGAAGATCCCAACGGCTCTGAGGCGATGGCACTGCATAATTCCCTGGGCCGGCACATTCTCCCACTCGGCCCAGGAGTTCGGAATGCCTGCAGGGTCACGGACTGACAAAGGGAGGAGCGCAAAAGAACACGTGCTCGGCTGCTGTGCCTGCAACGAAAGGCTGGAAGGCAGGGGCATTTGGGTTCGCATCTTTGTCCATCACGGGATTCTTGATGTTCCTAAGCATGGCAGGCGTACAACTCGAAGCACGAGGAGCAAACTCTCTCAATGCTCTTCAGCTGTTAAACCTCAGCTAAGGGCTGTAGACACATGCGACCCTGGCCCTGGACCCAGTGCTCAGAGAAAGGCTCACTGCATCTTCCGCATTTGACAAGCGCACGAGTGTGTGCAGGCATCGTCGCTGTTCCCACTGGGCAAGGTCGATGGTGTGAAAGGACATCTCCTCTGTTAGGGCTGTGGGGCTTTCCGTTTGGGATGTGAGCCGGGTGGCGGGGGTCATCTTCAGTGAAGGCTCTGGCTGCCCGTAAGGGAAGAGGTTCATGTAGCCCAGCCTCCGTCGTCTGTTGCAACTGGCATGCTGCCAGCGTACAAGTTGGAGAAAAATCCTCATCAATAACTTGGGACCGCACTTTTCACTCACGTTCTTCCAGTGCTGTTTTGTAAACTTCGGTTGACAACCTCGGAGCCAAGAAAATATGCTCGGTGAGCTGCTTCGGACGCATGGCGCAGGTGCAACATGTGCAGTTGAGAAGCACTTGCCATTGATGGGCCAGTCCACGCATCGCAGGAACATCATGCAAAGCACTGTCGCCCGGTCATCTCCTCAAAAAGCATGGCATCCACGAGTACCCCGGAGGCCCCAGCACATGCAGTGCGTAAACTGCAGACAATGGGTCGGTGCAGGAAAACACAAAGGAGGTTTCGCAGCTGTCGCGAGAGGATCCAAACTCTTGAGCTGATGCCACGAAGCGCCCAGATCGCCTGCGCCCGATGTCTACAGACGAACGACTCACAAAACTCGCGCGAAAGGCCGGTCCTGGCTTATCTTCAGGCTGCTCTGAGGATCCTCCTGCAAAGCGTCAGGCATTCCTTCAAGCGTGGTGGCAAATACACACTCGACGACAAATCCTCAACTTTCATGTCTTCCTTCTTCTTCGGCGCCAATTCAGCCTTCGACTGGGCATACGAGCCACATGCATTCCACTTAAGCATCTTCTACGATACACCTGCAGCGCTGCAAGCACATTCCCCCATGTCTCGATGGGGATCGGTTTGGCGGCAGCAGGCGGCCTCGAGATCAGGCACGGGGCAACAACACCAGGCCATGCGGCCATGCGGCCATGCCGGGATGCCGGGCCTGTACAATGCAACGAAGTCAAAGGTCAGCAGCCCTTGCGGAGGGATGCGCCAGTCAGCATCGGAGAAGCTGAGAGATTTTCCTTGTCGATTTTTGCAGCGCATCCACAGTGACACAGTGACCCCGTCGAGTACTCTTCTTGTGCAGGTTGCTCTGGTCTTGGAAATTGACGGAAAATTGGTGGTGACAAGATGCCGTCCAGCAAAGCATTCCGGAGGCACTTCCTTGGATATTGCAGAAACATGTGCCCTCAGGGTCACCCCGGGTCCACCCCCCACAGCTGACTGCTTCAAGCCGCCCCTTACCATCGATGCTGACATCAACGAGGTTAGCTTTCCGCCAGAGGTGAAGCTGCCAGCGGTTCAGCAGCAGGAGCTTCTGAACGACACTCCGAGTGGGAAGGTGTTCCTCGCTGTCACGGCTCGAGACAGCATCTGAGATCAGGGCTCGGGTTTTGATTCTTCGGGTTGTGGGTAGAGAAATTTTGGGTTTCTTGAAATTCAGGAGATTCTGGAAGCAGCCTCAAAGGGACAGAGCAGATCCCAATCGCAACCTCGTCACAAGTCGCAGGGCGTAATGCCCTGTGGGGCTTTCCAAATTCAGAGACAGTGGGGCCCTCGCCGATCTTTCGAAATCCAGGATGTCCTGCACTTGCTAGGCAGCGATACAAAATGCCCAAAGCTTCCAGCTGTTTCAGTCGCCCAAACTCGGATATCTGCGAAGCTTCTTCGGGAGCCTTGATCGAGTCGGTATTTTGGGCAGCATGCAGCAGAGCCCGGGGATGGAGGATGGCGGGCAGCATGCGGATCAGCGTCTCTTTGGCCTTGTCACCTGAGCCCGATCCGCAATCTGCCCCGACCCTACCGACCCGAAGAGAAGGAACGAAGAGTTGGATTCAGTCATGGGCCTTGGTTCATGTAGATGGCCATCACCTGACATTGGCGGTGGAAGTGTGCGTGCAATTCCCCCCTCTGGCAGGATTTGTCCAGGCTTGCCTGGTCTTTGTTCAAGTGAAAGTCCCTCAGCAATGCCATGAGGAAGGCATCGA